CACCTTTGGAACATGGAATGCCCTCGACGTGCATATCCTATTTGCGCCGCTCCAAAACGAACTTGAGTACTTGCCAAATCTGGGCAGCGACCGACCTAAAATGGGGTATGCAATGACATTAGATGGTGAAAGCCAGGCTTCTTTCATCACATTTTATTGGGTTTACAGTATTCCAACCTCGAAGTCCCGTGCGTCATATGTTGAAAATTGAATATAAACCTCGCAAGTTCATTTTTTCCATTTTTTCTCTTTGTTTCTTCCTTCCCCCCATCTTCACACCGCTACTCTTAACGATTTTCAACCAATTTCTTCATACTATTCGTATTGCAATCGTTACAGTCCACCGGCGTTCACCTTACCTAAAAGCTTGCCTTTCGCTTGCTTCCTTTCTCTCCCGCGAATTCACTTGCCCTGATCCTCCAGTATGAGCCTTTCCCGCTCTTCGCCACCGCAATCTGCCGTTCTGGCTTTCCCAGCTTCTCCTACCTGCGATAACAAGCAGTTTCAGCATCTTGAACATAGCGCCTCAGCCGGTACTACTTGTGACACTGTACCGAACACTCCGATCTCTTCTCGTCAAGCGCCACCCACACCGCCGGATTCAGATTCGTCGCCACCCAATAATATCCTTAGTAGTAGTACATCATTTTCTTCATCTCAGCCCAACCTTTCTCTCTCCCCGTCCCAAAAATATAACATTGGCAGCCCCAAGCCCAGCAGTTCTTCGCATTCTAATACTATCTCTATGTCTACGAACCATGTTGTCACCAGACCAAATAATCCGTCCCTCAATCTACAGGAAAATGGTACGGCATCGTCTTATAGTCTTTCTACTGCAGTTTCATCCAATTCTCGTGAGGTTTTATTTTATCAGTTGTGATTCCCCCCGACTTACTCGGATTGCAGCCTCGTACAGCCTCTCTTATCCTACAGGCTTGCAATTTTCGTATGACCACATGTTTCCTGACTCAAGCGACTCACAGTTGTCGTTGAGTCCCGATACGCCTTCCCAGCGCCTTCCCAGTGCATCTCGCGCATCACACCGTACCCCAAATGTGTATATCAATGGACTGCCTCCTCATTTTCCGGAGCAGGAGCTCTTTGCTCTCACTCGCCCATTTGGTGAGGTGAAGAGTGTGAGGTCGTTCACTAGGCATGTGAGCGAAAAACCAACGTATGTCCTGTTCTGCCACTGCACGAAATGCCAAAGCTCACGTTCTGGTAAACAGAGGGTATGGCTTCGTTTTGTAGGTGGACATGTATTTTTGTGCGATTGTCTACCTCACATTCTTGCTAAGGTTCAGCGACGTCGATTCAGCAGAAAAATGTATCGAAGGTCTTCGTAAATATCGCAATCTACATCCGTCGTTCTCAAAGGTCAACATTGTTCTTCTTGTATGCACCCGCATTCTTAAAAATTCCCCATACAGCAAATCCATCGCATACCTGGTACAGTGTACGCTCAGCAAAGCCCCTCTCAAATAGAGCACGATGAAGATTCTTTCAAAGCGCGGATGGAAAAACTGAAGGATGGGTTATCCACCAACCTATACATCGAGGGGTAAGATCGCTTTGATAAAAGCTCGGTTTGGTACTGAATAATTCTTTTCAGACTTCCGCTCTCGATTGATGAAGAGGTATGTGAAGCTGGTGGCCACATATACAACGTTATTTATATGCGAACACAGAGCCTTACTGCTTTGGTGCACCCTTACACCATCAAGAGCAGCCGTTTCTTTAAAACGAAGCTCAGTGAACCCCCTCGGATAATCGCCTTCGTTCGGTTAGTTTGTTCTCGAAATTGAAATTCTGTAATTGATCCACCTAGTATAGACTTGAGAATCGTGCAGCTGCAGAGGATACCATCGAACGCCTGCATGGTCGAATGGTCCGTGGATGGAATGACCCTGGATGCAGGATTTCCGTCCGGTTTGCTGATAGTGCTGAACAACGGGAGCTAAGGGTTGGTCCGCTGATCGAGACGTGTTTTACTTCGAGCTGATTCATGTATCTTGCGTTAGCGATCAGAGAGAGTATCCAAGAATGGGGACCAGTCTCCAGCCCGTTTGACAATCGCTCAAGCTGCCCTTCTCAACCTTCGTGGCCAAGAGCTCCAAGCTCACGCTCGCAAGACCCACGTAAATAGTGTCCGTGACATCCCCATCATTGGTCAGCCTCGCGACGAGATTTCTCTATCAAGTATTCATCACTCCTATCCGAATCTGAATTCCCCCTCCGTGTCAGCAGGGAACATTCCCATATCTACCTCTCTGCCAGGGCATCTTGGTTATCCGTACGACAGTTCCCCGTCGACTAGGTACCAGGACCTTCAGTCGAATCCCTACACTGATGACCTTCTGAATTCACTGCAACACAACCTGAATTTGACACACGCTTACACAGGGTCGACACTTGACCAAGAACATGATGCCCATCGCGCCCATCTTCAAGCCCTCGCAAATGCAACGCTGTACACGGCTAGCGCCCAGCCATCTGCACAGCAGCCTCGTAGCCAGATACAAGCGAGGAACGGCTTCACTCCCGCAGAGGAGCTCATCCTCCAGGCTCACGCGAGGATACGTGAACAACGGTACCAACAGCTGCAGACCCAACAGCAACTTGTGCACCCACACGATCTCACTCTCCCTCGGCGTGCCTCTTCATCTGGACGATTAGAATCTGCAAGCAAACTCAATGCGAACGCGCAAGTATTCCACGCCCCGGAGCAGATTTCCGCTTATCCGCTCACTGGTCGAGTCCTGGGTGGGGCGAACCGGCCGAAGTTTTTGGGCGACGCTCTACCGCCAATCTCCGAAGACGACTTCCATGCTCTTGGCCAACATCAGCTGGAGTCCAGGTCACATTATGACCATCTCCGCACCCATTATCAGGATGAGCTGCATTTCCGTAGTGACACTGGCAATGTCAGGATCACGAAACCGCCTAGTCGTGCTATCGAAATTGTTGCGCCACCTCAACATCTTGATTCCAAGTGTTCTCCTTTGCAGTCGCACCATCGTTCTCAGTTCTCTTCGCGTTCACACCTTTCTCTGCGGCAGCAAGCACAAGTCGCTACTCTCCCTCGTTCCCCTCTCGCATCGAATTCATCTCAGCACAGTTATCAGCACACGGACAGCCGCTCCAATAACCTAAACAGCACCATCGCTATGTCCAGTACCAACGATAAACCCGACAGTGGTCCGCAGAACTATCTTCACTCGCCCCAAACATCCCAGCCCCGGTCAGATGATCAACAGGACCATCGCCACAAGTCTACTTCTGTGTCCTCAAAAGCATACGTTCCTGCGCAGAAGTCGCCCTCTTTAGCCCAACAACTAGCATCCGAAAATGACATGAGGTCTCCTGCTCTCGTTTCTCCGGCGCTAACTTACTCGTCTCGCACCTCATCTACTCTCAGTCCGGCTACTCCTTTCCTCGGCTCATTCAACGGCAGCCCAGAGAATTTCGAGTACACGCCAGACAATAGTGGGATAGTGGAGAAGGTGAAAGTCGGGTCAGGTACGCACTAGCTCGTCGTTCTCGTCCAGTGACAGTTTCCGGTGCATGTTGTTTTCCATTGTGACGATCATAGTACCCTTTAGCATGATGTAACGTACAAGATTGTTTCTTTCGTTTTCGTTTGATGTTCCCGGATAAGTATATTTTGATAACCATTATGCGCGAGTACGAATAGTTTTGTACCTACGCACTCTTAGTATTTTTTGAGATACAGCAGATATGTCTATGTTCCTCATCGACCTGATCGCACGTATAGTACTAATAGCTATATTAGTGTTGTCTATGGTATGCCATACGCGGTGATATATGAATCACTGTTAGTTTAGCCTCCAGTAGGCAGACTAACACGTATCACAGTGCCCCTCAAGTTCTCAAATTGCTTTGGGCTTCTAGTCTATCGTCCTGCATAGGTCAATATCGTCAGGCCCCCACAGTAAATTCATGTAGGCTGGATAGCGCCCTCGAGGTGGGATATCCCGTAGTAGCCTACAGAAGTAAAAGTAAAGTCGCAAACAATCATTCTAGCTATTAACGAAGTTCGGACGTTCAATGTTCAAATTTGAAAGATTCATAGATTCATGTATGCGTGAAACGTACTGGTGCGTGGCGACCGCAAGCGGCAAGACCATATACTGACCATAGGACATATCGTATGCCGCTTGATCTGAATACACACTTAGGGCGACCCGCGTGACAGTTTCAACTCAAGTGTATGTCTGTGGGAAAAATAAAGTATCTGGAGCCCTCAGAGTTGTGCTGCAGTTGTGTAACCTATATACAAAAAGCTTCAAAAAACCCATGATCGACTGTAATATAAACACATAGTACGTACCATTACCGAGATCTGCGTATCAGGATGCTGTGTAACATAGTTGAACGGATCAAGCGCCATGATATTGTAAACTGAGTCTCTTGGCCCTTGGGACGATGGACGTCGTCGAGGAGACCCATTGTTGTAACAAAGTCGTATTTTTAACTTTCCCATCATGATATTCCCCCTTGATACTGGCGTCGCACACATGCTATCACATATGCCCAGCGATCATTGATCATCGATGATCTTCCAGACCAATGAGAAAAAATGCGCAAGGGATAGTCCTAGATACAATAAATATCAAACGAACGTTGATACACCGTGGCGTCGATGGCAACTTTGATGGTAGCGTTGATGTAAATAGTAATCTGATAAGTTCGATTTTTACACACCTGCCGCACAACTTGAAGGCAGCCTTCATCTCTGCATGCAGTTTCGAGTATTTTTGTGGCCGTATATACATTGTGTTGTTTGCATTGCGCACCGTGGTCCAGTGCTTGATGTGTTATGAAAGAGATGGGACTGCATGGCGTTCAGCCTTATCATAGAATAATACGTACTGTCCACATGATGGGGCTCCGCCCCACCGGACAATAAAGAGGATTCCAAAAAAAAAAAAATTTCATAGAATAGAAAACATCGCATGTATTTGCGCTGTGCTGAGACAGTCACGTAGACGGGACTATAATCAACAATTGAAGCTGACAACGTGATTTTGATGTTTCAGCAAGAAATCGAAACGTTACCACTGGCACTGGGACTAGCTTTGTAAGTCCACCGTATCGATTCCTGCGGCCCTGATGATGTGTATATAATAATGTTGCAATAGCCTGCGTGCGGCAGGCATTCTCAACACCCACCTTTTATATTGCATCATCGTCTCGTTGTAATGGATATCACTGAAAAACAGCAGTTGTGAGTCATACACGCACAAATATCTTCATCTTGACACTACAATTTACCAGGTTATTTCACTTGAACGCCGTTCTCGTGGCAAACAGTACCGGGGCTTTCCATCTTTGTTCTCAGGACGATAACAAATATCATAGGCATTCTGATGTACGATCATATAGTGACCCTCCCAGAAGAACTCGCGTTTATTTGGCGTCGTCCAAAATTACTGTCTCCAACGTTGTTTCTCGCCAATCGCTATGTTGCCCTGGTGGGCAATATCTTTGGCTTGTTTATCGATTTCCTGCCCGCAGTTTCGGATGAGGTTCGAGAATTCTGTTATGCATCTACCCAGATGGCAGGCTCACGATTTATCTATTTTTGCAGAGGTTTCAACCCTTCTTTGAATATATATTGTTGTTCTTACCAAAGTTTTAGCTGTTCGAGGTATATGCTAGTCAGAGAGCTGTTCCTTTATCTCCAACAAATCATTGTTTGCGGTGAGTCAAAAGTTGATCGCGAACAATACATGCCCTAAAAGATTTCAGTCATATTGACTCTGCGGATTTACGCACTGTACGGTCGTAGCAGGCGCCTGCTCGGTTACATAGTAATTATCGGCCTTGCTCTTATGGGAGGAGCATCAGTACGTGTTCGCATATCCTTTTGCACTCCAGATTCTGCTGACCTTTTTAGGCGGGTTCTTTTGGAAATAATTCAAATACTGCGATTTACATCCAAGGAAGTGATTGTCATAACACATTCACAGCAAAGATGTATGTCATTCCCTTCATCGGTATGCGTGCCTGCTCAAAAGTCATGACAGAGCCATGCGTCAGTGAATTCTCAGCCACGTTGCATGCAAGTTGATGATGCTACTACCTTATCCACTTGCAGGTTATGGACTGGCTTGGATTGCAGTTTTTGTCTTCGAATTACTTATATTTGTCCTTACAGTCTTCAGGACTTGCAAGACTAGGGGATCTCCGCGGTTGATTCCATCCAGCAGAAATATCATTGATATCATATTTCGAGATGGTATTTCTTTCGTTTCACCTGTAGTGTAAATTCTGAAACAAGCAAATGCAGGTGCAATGTATTTCGCGTAAGATTGATAGTGAAACTGTGATTCGAGTGAAACTGATCTGCGTTGATTTAGAGCGATGACATTGATTAATCTACCTAACATCCTGACATACTACGTAAGTCAACAGATAATATATCAATTGAGTCGCACACTCACTATGTGAATTAGTGTGGTTCAGTGAGCACGCACTGCATCTTACAATCGGGTTGGCTACTTCCTGACAACTGACAAGGATATCACCAGAGGGAATCTAGCCACATTTACTGGTTGGTGAGTGATTGATGCGATAAACAGGAATCGATTTTGAATAAGATACCTAGCATGTCCGTCACTCTCGTCTCTCGACTGGTGCTTCACCTGCACAAATCTGCGGATGACGGGATTTTATCCACCGCCATCCGGAACGATGGCTCCAGCCCCAATGTCTTTACCACCAGACTCGATGTCGAATTCTCTTCTCACGATTTTCAAGCTGATTCTGGCTGATTGGATCCTGTTCCTGGTTGCGAAATTTCTTCGCTTTTAGTTAGCGTGTTGTAATTTTACAGACGATATGCAGAAGAGTTCATTCTGATTACCATGGATATCTTGCCGATTGGCACCTAACGCGGTGAATGCATTGAGGTTCGAGGCATATCAATCAGTAGACCTGTGCACGCTGCAACTAGCGGAGTTATATCGAGCGGAACTTACCGAAAAATATGACCGTCGGATATGTTCGCTTCCCCAGAATGAATCTATATCTTTCTATCCTAGGGTATAAGAACTTGTGACTATTCTCAACAGAACGTGCAAGATACATCTGGTAGACGTAGCTGAACAAGGCGGTTGCCACTATCCGATTCCAAATTCTGGACCGCCGACCAGTGTACTGATTTGTGCTAGTGCTGCACTGCGTGTCCTAGTCAAGGCCCCGTTTCACCGAAATGGTCGATTTTGTCCCCTTGGCCTCGGACCGCCATGGGCCGTAAATGGACTAGTATCCTGGAACATCGCCCTCTCCGTCCATTGCCGCTCAGTTTACCGAGTGTGATCGCCCTTGCTGGGTACAATGGATTACTGATGGATGGTTGATCACTGTGGAGGAGGAGGCGGGCTGTGTAGTATAACATTCCCGTCAATCTCAAGTTTCAACACCCCTTCCTCTTGTGATATCGTCTTTCTGATGTATATCACTGACTTGGAAGCGCTGCAGGTGTAAGTGATAAACCCATTGGTTTACTATGTATGCTTATCGCGAACTAACATTCCAATTTGCCAGGTCGGTGTACCTGTACATCCTTTTCGCAGCAATCAGTACTGCGATTTTTCATTCTGATTCTCAAGATGATAACTGAATACTTTAGGTCTCCTGCTATACGACCACATGGTAACCCTCCCAGAAGAAATCATGTTTATCTGGTGTCGTCCGAAAGCATTGTCCGCAGTGTTATTTCTCGTCAATCGCTATGTCGCCGTGCTCGGAAATATCCTTGACCTAATTGGCAATTTCCTACCCGTTTCACCTGAGGTGCTACATCAATGTTGTGCGTGTATTCGATTGGCAGGCTCACTTTCTCTTCGCAGAGGTTTCAACTTTGCTTTCTTGAATGTCTATTATTTTGCTCAACAAAGACTTAGCTGTTCGAAATACCGGCTAGTCATAGACGTGTTACGTTTTTCCCAGCAAATTTTCATTTGCCGTGAGTTAGAAGTGTATCGCGAGAAAGACACGCTGAATGTTTCAAATTTCCAGTCACACTGGCTCTTCGCACTTATGCTCTCTACGGCCGCAGCAGGCGCCTGCTCATATGGATGGGGATCATATCTCTTGTTCTTCTGGCAGGAGCGTTGGTACGTGTTCACGAAGAATTTTGGACTTGAGAGTCTGCTGAACTTCAAGTTGTAGGCGGGAACTTTTGGAGATGACTCAGACGCTGCGGTCGACGCCGGCGACTGCCATGAAATATACACGACAGAAACGTATGTCATTCCCTTCGTCATTCCACATGCCTGCTCAAAAGTCCTGCCAGAACTGTCCGTCAGTGCATTCTAAGTCATATCTGGATGTATATTGATCGTACTACGGAATTATCCAATCGCAGGTCATGGGATGGCATGGGTAGCGATGTTTATCTACGAATTACTCATCTTTGTCCTTACAGTCTTCAGGGCCTGGAATACTAGAGGATTGCGGTTTTCCCTAATATCCAGGAGAGATATCCTTGATGTCATATTCCAAGATGGTATTTTTCGTCGCACCGGTATGGTAAACACTGATCCAACCGAGCACAGGTGTGATGTACTTCGCGTGAGAATGCTAGCGAAACTGTGCGAGTGAAGCTGATTCGCTTCCTCTTAGAGGGATGACATTAGTCAATTTACCCAACATTCTGACGTACTTCGTAAGTCAACAAATAAAATATCGATTCAATCGCACACTCACCATAATTTAGTGTGGTCCAGTGAGCACACATCCGCATGTTTTCACCGGGTTGACTATTTCCTGACGATTTGCAAGGAAATCATCAGAGGCAGCCTGGGTGCATTCACTACTTGGTGAGTAGTTGATGGGATAAACACAGAACGACCCCAATTATGACCCTCAGCATGTCTGTCACTCTCATCTCTCGCCTGATGCTCAACCTGCACGGATGTGTCGACACTGGCATTTTTTCTACCCCTGCCGAGACCAGCCCCGATGTCCTTACCACCAGGGCCGACGTAGAGTTTGCGGTTTCCTCGGACCATTGGTAGGCTGGTACTGGATTCTGTTTATGGTTTATGGATGTGAAGTGTCGTTGGAAGTTGAAAACGGTTCTTTGGCCTTTTTCTTGAACGCAGCATGGTATGCGGGCTCGATATCTATGTAGAAACGACTCATTTAGTGTGTATAGTGACGACCTGTTTCCATTCCGAAGTAGATTGGCTCCCAACAGGGCCGAGTCCCTGAACATGTCAATTACTGATCACTGGCTAAGAACTCAACCTTTTCCTGATTTGACCACTAACGCATAAGTTCTACACCTTGTCACAGAGTATCCTTGCCTTAATCCTCGCTGTATGGATATTACTCTATCGGAAGGTTATTCGAGGGTTTGGGCAGTTGACTGGGACTCTATACAGCGAGGATCAGGATCAGGATAAGTATTATGCGACAGTGTGGAACGTGCGCGGTAGTGGCCAAATCAGGAAAGTCCAGGTTTAGTGTCCACGTAAGTCATTTACGGAAGGACGGCCGTAAGGTTAAGTCGCATTGACAATGGGTCAATTCAGGCCTGAATCAACCAGGCCTTATAATACCAATGTCAATCTTTTCCAGTCGATATCGAGTCTCAACACCCCTTCCTCCTATGATATTGTCTTCCTAATGTATACTACTGACTTGGGAGCGCAGCAGGTGTGAGTAATAAACGTATCGATTTACTATGTATGCTGATCGCGCACTGACATTACTACAATTTTCCAGGTCAGTGCACTTGTACACCCTTTTCGTGGCAATCAGTACTGCGACTTTTCATTTTGATTCTCAAGACGATAACTGAAAATTTCAGGTATCCTGCTATACGATCACATGGCAACCCTCCCAGAAGAAATCATGTTTATCTGGCATCGTCCAAAAGCAAAGTCTGCAGTGTTATTTCTCATCAATCGCTATTTCGCCTTGCTCGTCAATATTCTTGACTTAATGGCCAATTTCCTACCCGTTTCAACTAAGGTTCTACAATCTTGTGCATGTATTCGACTGGCAGGCTCACTTTATCTCTGCAGAGGTTTCCACTTTGCTTCTTGAATATCTACTAGTTTACTCAACAAAGACTTAGCTGTTCAAGATATCTGTTGATCGTACATATGTTGCGTCTTTTCCAACAAGTCTTCATTTGCCGTGAGTTGGAAGTGTGTCACGAGAAAGACACTGAAGTTTTAGATTCTCAGTCACATTGACTCTTCGTACTTATGCTCTCTACGGCTGCAGCAGGCGCCTGCTTAAATGGATGCTAATCATGGGCGTTGTTCTTATAGCAGCATCGGCGGTACGTGTTCACGAAAGATTTTAGACTTCAAGTCTGCTGAACTTTTAGGTGGGAGCTTTTGGACCTAATTTAACAAACAGTGCGATCGACAACGGTCACTGCCATGAAATATACACAAGAGCAACGTATGTCATTCCCTTCATTATTCCACTTGCCCACTCAAAAGTCCTGCCAGATCTTTCCGTCAGTGCATTCTAAGTCATATCTGGGTGTAAATTGATGGCACTACGGAATTGTCCAATCGCAGATCATGGGACGACATGGGTGGCAATGTTTATCTACGAATTACTCGTATTTGTCCTCACGGTCTTTGGGACTTGGAAAGCTAGGGGATCGCCGCGGTTCTACCTAGCATCTAGGAGAGATATCATTGATGTCATATTCGAAGATGGTATTTTCGTCGCACCGGTATGGTAAACACTGATCCAACCGAGCACAGGTGTGATGTACTTCGCGTGAGAGTACTAGTGAAACTATGCGAGTGAAGCTGATCCGCTTTCTCTTAGAGGGATGGCATTGGTCAATTTACCCAACACTCTGACGTACTTCGTAAGTCAACAAATAAAATATTGATTCAATCGCACACTCACCATAATTTAGTGTGGTTCAGTGAGCACACATCCGCATGTTTTCACCAGGTTGACTATTTTCTGACAATTTGCAAGACTATCGCCACAGGCAGCCTGAACGCGTTTACTGCATGGTGAGTGGTTGATGGGATAGACACAGAACGACCCTAATTATGACCCTCAGCATGTCTGTCACTCTCATCTCTCGCCTAATGCTCAACCTGCACGGATGTGTTGACACTGGCATTTTTTCCACCCCTGCTGAGACCAGCTCCCATGTCCTTACCACTGAGATCGACGTAGAGTTCGCGGATTCCTCCCACGATCCGTAGGCTGGTATTGAATTCTATTTATGGATTCAAAGTGGCGGGAGACTCTCGTTGGAAGTTAAAAACTATTCTGTCCTTTTTCGAATGCAGCGTGGTATGCGTTCCAGTACTCGATAAATGTATATTTGAAACATCTCGTTTAGTGTTACCTTTGCCCTAGGATTGTATATAGATAGACCAAACGTACATGTTGAATTGTTGGCTAATTGGATTATCCATACGTGTTCATCCGTGCGGTGGTGTGCCGGTCGTTAAGTTTCGCGGCTGTTTGCAATTGGTAAACTCTTAACCACCATGATACGCCAGGTCCAAGATAACCTCCTTTTTCGGATATGTAACAACCAACAAGCTTCAAACTACCTCCTCCACTAACGTCGTGGGAGTCTGGGATTAGCTGCAGGCAGTAGTCTGGCTTCACACCTCCGGGTATCGGTGGTCTTGGTCCGCACGAAAGAATGAGCGGCAGTTGATAATCAGACCAGTACTAGTGGTCCTAACACGGTCATAACTCAAAACATGTCATGATCAATTTGCCACATCTTCAAGGACCATGAGCCCAACAACTGCACGATCAGGCTACACAACCTGAATCAAGTTCATAACGCCATCCAAGTAGTAGCAAAACAACAGTGCGTTAAACCACAACGTCCAAAATCATCACACCGCACATTAGGCCATAAAGCTGTAAAAAAAACTGACATTCCCAAGGCAGTTAAATGTTCCATGAAGTGGAGGGTCCTGAAGAAGAAAAGATAATAAACAAAGGGATATATGTATCGGAGTCCAAGTCCAAAAATGAATTAGGCAACGACCAAGCTAAGAGCAAGAGCGGCGACCATGCTCATGCCTACAGGAACATATTCCGCGAGGGCACCGCCAGTTTTGGTGGCTTGTGCAGCCCCAGCGGAAGCACTCCCGGTAGGAGTACTGCCTGCGCTGCTGGTGGTGGTGGGATAAGACGAGCCGAGAGCCTTGATTTCGAAAGGCTGGCTTTCGGCATAGATCTGTAATATAAACAAACATTGAACACGATTTGTCAACAAGCCTGAGAAATGTTCACGCACGTCAGTCTCGTTCAGAGTGCTGGCAAGCTGAATAACGTAGCCGGAGCCAGCGGGCTGCGCGGATTGCTGCTGAGTGATGGATTCGGAACAGTCAAAGTTTTGTTGGACGGCGACGATGGCAAGGGGTGCAGGGAGAATTGAGAGGTTCGAGTTGGCGAGACTACAAAAATGTGTCAGTTGAGCGGGCTCTCACGCGCATCAAAGGAGACCGTGCGCACAGAATAGTGAAGTTTAGATACGGAGAACTCGTGCACGACCACGCGAGTGTGTTCACCGACGACGCGACTACGAACAGAGAATTACAGAATTGACCGACGAAAGCCAAGAAGGGTGCACATTAAGTCATCAGCATTGTGACATCTGGAGGTCTGGGATCCTGGGTACTCACCCCACCAGTCATTGGCACCGGGAGACGTGACGACCAACTGTGCAGACACAACACTGAGCAAAGCGGCGCAAGTGAGGGCAAGACGGCGGAACATGATCAAAATTTTAGTGTGGAGGGAATGTGTAAAGACAGAGGACACAGCGAATTTTAAACGAGCGAGTGATTTGAGGAAACGAACAAGGCTTAAAATACTTCGCAACATCCACGCTCGAATAATTTATGATTTATTCTCCGACAATTTTCATCAGTTGCCGCACATGTGCCGAAATAACATACACGAAGTTACAACGATGTTTTTTTATTCGCGGTATTCATCATACATGATATAGTTATAAATACCGACATCTAGTCATACAGCCCGACCTATTCTTGGGTGTGAATATCGTGAGGAGTTAGTTATTCTGATACAAAGAACTTTAGTTCTGAGGAATATAGGGAAAGACCGGGTGATTATGACCTGAGGCCACCCTCAGGACGTTGAAATAAAGTACGAAGACGGAAATGAAATCATCCATGCAATGGTCTTTGAGGGAATGAAATAGTCATATGGGGAAAAGTGGGCGTGTGTCGAATGCTTACGGTCCCAGGACACCGATAATAGCACCAACCATAATGCCAACCATAACGAGGAAGATCAGGAGTGCCCAAGCAGATTTCTTAGCCCACTTGACCTCAGCATCTCTCATGATCCGGACCAACTCCTGGCGCTCATCCTCAGACTTCGTTGGCTCAAAGTCGGCAGGGGCCTCGAGTGGCAAGAACAGGATAAATGCTCCAAGTACCCAGAAAGGTGGGAAGACTGAGATTCGATTAGATAAATATAATGGGTGCGGAGCAGATGCAATACTCACAAAATCCACGTTTGAATAGGTACATAGCAAGCGTTACAGGTTCCGCAGGAGCGGAGCTGTATGCTGGAGGCTCAATGGCATCTGCATATGGAGGAGGCGCTTCTCCATCCAAAGCCATGGGAATGCGACCAGGAGTGGCATAAGAGTCGTGGCGACTCTCGCGAGTCGCACTCGTGCGAGAGACCCCGAAAAAGACATCCATGGGGTCTGTGGTATTGTCATTCTGCTGAGGTGTACGCGTAGAGGTAGCTGCAGAATGAGCTGCCTGGATGGCAGTAGGAAGAGTGAAGGAGGCCTGTGCACCAGTCACAGTTTGTGCCTCAAGATCAATGTCAACCGAGGATATGGAAGTCTTGCGCCAGTTGCCAAAGACACTAGATATTCTGGAAGAGGTAGACATTTTAAAGCTCGTGGTTGAGAAAGATTCTTCAAGTGATAGAGGTAGGTTTCGTGGGGCTGTCAGAAGGCGCGGCGGGGCGGGTTTGTTGGGATGATAGGACGAACATGGCCCTAGATATATACCGAGAGCTGCATACGATGAAAGAAGGCAATCGAGAGAGCAATTGCCTGCGGACCAACAAAAGAAGCCAGAAAAAATGCGCCGAGGAAATTCATGCTGGAAAATTGACTCTTTTAGTAATTGCCATTGGCACGTTTCCAAGCACGTTTGGACCCACGAGGATATATAAGTGCGGCGCAAACGCATCAAGCGAGGTTTTCAACATTGACATCGGATATACATTTGCATTCTGCTTTCTTCCGCATAATTTATCTGCAGCGCGTCGAGTATAATTAGGATCAGAGAAATGGGTAAGGAGCCCAACGATCAATGAATCCTTGTGCTCAAAGTAGAAAATTACCTGAAATGGTAAATTTCGAAAGCAATCCCATTGCTCTCGATGAATAACTTACATAACTGTGCCTCGTGTTGATTTTTGATTGTCGATTTCGCTTGCGGTAATGGTCAGCATCTTCGCCCATCGTGAAAGGCTCAATTACAATACATCTATGCTGTAACAGTCTTACATGACCATGCACAAGCCACAGTTGCTTGCGACTTCATTTTTTACTTCCGTAGCCTATCCATGAGATTTTCCGCTAGAGCGCTAACACTGAGTATCGTGAACATATGTTGGGAGCCCAGCGATTAGGTGGGCTCGCACAAGACTGCAAACCGCAAGGACGAGCACATGTACAATAAATATCAGCTATATCTAGGGCACCAAAGATGGCAATAAATAAATGAAATTTCTACATACATTAAGCACCGCCCAGCACACTTAAGAAAACAACTAAAAGAACAGCCTTCCGCTTAAAGGAAGAACCCCCGCCACTTCGCATCCGGGAGCAGAATTCAATACCGCCTATCAATTGTGGGAAGAAAACGTGGACTCTACGTCGATCCTGGTGGTAAGGACGGCGAGGTTTGGGTTATCGTCCTGAGTAGGGATGGAGAAAATGCCAGCATCGAAAGTCTGATGCAGGTCAAGCATCAACCGACAGATGAGAGTGACAGAAATGCTACACGTCATATTTAATATCAATCCGTGCGTATCACACCAACCACTTACCAGCCAGTAAATGTGCAAAAACTCCCTCTCAGGCCAACCTTGCCAGTCGTCAGGAACAAAGCTAAATACAATGTGAGTGATTTGTATGCTCACCGAGCCGGACTGATACGAGTTGTGAGCATTCCATGATATCGTCAATATTCGCTCAGCGACTCACGTAGTACGACAGGATGTTCGGTATATTGGTCAGTGTCATCGCTCTGGAATGGGGATTAGAATCACTCGAATCACTATCTCGTCAGAAACCTCACCCAAAAAACATCACTCCTGGATTCGGTTGATTCAGTGATTACAATGTCAATACAGATACAATGAAAAATTCACCATCGTGAAACATGGTATCGATGATATTTTCCCTGGAGAATGCAAACAGCCGCAGCAAGCCTCTAATTTTGCAATACCTGTACACTGTGAGTATGAAGATGAATAAATCGAAGATAAACTCGGCCACATATGCCAGTCCAATTCCTGCAATCAGATAAGGTCATGACATCAAGTTGCATGTAAATGTGACTTAAAAATCACTGACGGATGGCTCTGAAACAACTTTTGAGCAGGCACACAGAATGAGGATGAGGACGACATACACTGTTTTTGAAAATGTTTCATCGCAGCCAATTCCTGGCACAATGACCAAATGGTCTGAATATTGTCCAAATGTATTCGCCTAGAAACGATTAGTAAACTCCATAATCCGAAATTCTACGCAAAGACGTACACAACACACTCCCGCAAGAGAAACCATGACGATTACCATCCAAGTAAGGAGGCGCTTGCTACAGCAATAAAGAGCATATGTGCGCATAGCCATTGTGACTAAAATGTTACTATGTATCATGATGTGAATTTCTCGCAACAAACCTGTACTCACTGCAAATGATTATTCCCTGGAGGAAAAGAGCCAGTTCCCTGTAGAGCGAATAATCCCAACAGCTAAGCTTTTACTAAGCAAAACAGCATGTTCAAGAACCAGAGTGAACCACACCTCTACATAAGTTGTGAGCATGCCAGTTCAGTACGCGCATAATGAAATGACAGAACCTCATCTGACATTATAGGCTGGAAATCCACGATTAAGCTGGATATACTGGCGAGTAGAGCGGCATAACGATTGAGCAGGAATAACATCGCCGACAGGGTTTTCGGACGACGCCAAATCAGATCGATTTCTTCTGGTAGGGTCACCATATGGTCGTATATCAGGATACCTAGAATATCGTGTTATCGTTGTGATACAGAGGAAATAAGGTCCAGTACTGTTTCCCGCCAGAATGGCGTACATATTGAACAGCCTGTAAATATTCAGTCGCTGTCAGGACAGACGCTGAATCCACGTGTGGATCACTCACACTTGCTGCACTTCCGAGTTAGTAATATCCATCGCGACGAGGCAAAATTCAACAGAATAAGGGCGCTGAGAATGTGATCTGTTATATACCAGCCATGGCAGTCCTTCACACCATCATCAAACAGGCGTTATGTATACAAGCCAAATACTGCCGGTAAGGAGACGAGCCGTCGACTCCAAAATCAAGTTTTGGACTTAATATAGTGTTGTACATTCTTCCTGTAGATGTTTCATGTGGGCCTCGTGTCGGACTTGATCGATGATCCGTTCAATCAACGTGAATTGTTTGACACGCGGACATAGCTGAGCCTTATATGGATGGGCAATTCAATGGGCTGTGCGGTTACAAGGCTTGTACTTATTGAGAATGAGTAACATGCTCACCACCGCGGTCAAGGGATATTCGAAAAGAAGAGTTGGCAGCGTATACTTGCTTCAGAAAGTTGATGGCACCATCTTGATGCAAGTCTCAAGATGGCTAATGCACGTCGTCGCTGTAAGTACTAAGGATCGTATATCCTCTACGTCCCGACCACGTCGGATTTCAAAAAGAAAAACCCTGACGCCCGAAGTCGTCCACGTGACGAGTCTCGGTAATGCGAAGAGCATCCGTGGCCGAGTCACGTTCTCTTATTAAGACCTTGTGCTCGGATTCCACGATCCCCTTGCTTTGATCATCACCATATGCTCCATATGCTCGTTTTGGCCTAGTCAACTATCCGAAAACGTATATATACAGCCCATGTACACTCATCTACAACAGAATCTCATACGCTGATTCCCCGCTCAAAAGCACACCCGATCGAACGGTCCAGGGCCAACGGAAGTCTCCGTCTCTAAACGTCTCATATTGTCACCCTTCACGCTATCTACCTAAAGCGTCTCATAACTACGTCGATCTGTTCAAACGTTCTATCATCTTCACCCGTCTCATAACAATGTCAATCTGTGCCCAATCCCCTTCGAACTCATAGTGGGCCTTGCGTGGCCAAGTGACTTTAAAATAGGGAATAACGCGGAAGCAATCCACTTGATCAACAGGGACAGGATTCCCCTCGTTGAGAGGCTTGATTTTATTTGATTATGGATGACTATACATATGATAATTAGCACGATGAATATACAGGTTACGCGAGATTCCACTACAAGAACAGCTTTTCACTCCTACCAAGTATCTCCCGCCACTTCGCATCCAGAAATAGAATCCAATGCCAGCCTAACAATGGTGAGAGGAAATCGCGGACTGTAGGTTGACCCTAGTTGTGAGGACAGCGAGGCTGGGACCTTCGTCCTGGGAAGGGATGGAGAGAATGCCAGTGTCCATAGATTTGTGGAGGTTAAGCATCAGTCGAGAGACGAGAGTGACGGACAAGCTGGATGTCATGTCATAAATAACATCAATTGCTTGTTGCATCAACCACTCACCAGCTAGTCAATGTGGAAAGACTGCCTCTAATGTCAACCTTGCCAATCGTCAGGAAATAGTAAACCTGAATATGAGATTCGGCTGTATATGCTCACTGAAGCAGACTGATCAAGCTGTAAGTGGTTTGTGACTCCATCGATGTTCATTCGTTCACTCACGTAGTACGTCATGGTATTCAGTACGTTGACAAGCACCATGGCTCTGAGGGCATGCGGATGATCAAATCAGAACCACTTGAATCATGATCTCAAGTAGTAACTTCACCCAAAATACATCGCACCTGCATATGATTGAGTCAGTGTGCACAATTCAGATGCAACGGAAAATTCACCATCGTGAAATATAATATCAATGACATTTCTCCTGGCGACTGAAGAGAACTGCAGAAAGCGTCTAGTTTTGAAAATCTTGTACGCTATCAGGATGAAGATCAGTGATTGGAATACCATGTCTGCCACCCATGCCAACCCAAGACCTGTAATTGGACTCGAGTAAGGTCGTGACATCAAGCTGCATGCAAATTAGACTTGGAATTCACTGACGGGCGGCTCTGAAACAACGTTTGAATAGGCACACAGAAGGGTGAAGAGGATGGCGTACGTCGCTGCTGTAAAAGTTTCATAGCAACCAACTCCAGGCAAAATGACCGCATCGCCTGAAAATTGTCCAAAACTTCCCGCCTAGAAACTATCAGTATAAGAGTGTAAATTCTACGTGAAGACGCACAGAAACTGCTATCGCAAGAGTAATCATTATGCCTGTCAACCAAGTAAGCAGGCGCTTGCTGCCACCGTAGAGAGCATAAGTGCGAATGGTCATTATAACTTCAATTCTCAGTGTATGAAGTTCTCGCAATAGTGATTTGTTACTCACAGCAAACAACCACTGCTTGGGAAATGATAGACAATTCTCTGAATAGGGAATACCCCAAACAGCTAAGTCTTTGTTGAGTAATATTCAAGAACCAGAATAAATCACACCTCTATAGAAATAAATTGTGAGCCTGCCAGTTTAGTATACACACGATGAAATCATAGAACCTCATAAGAAAGCGGCGAATAAGTCAAAGCTATGTTGGTGATATTGATGAGTAGAGCGGGATAGCGATTGAGCAGAAATAACATCGCAGACAGGGCTTTCGGACGACGCCAAATAAAAGCGATTTCTTCTGGTAGGGTTGCTATATGGTCGTATATCAGGATACCTAGAGCAACGAGTCATCGTCTGAGCCCAAAGATAAAGAAAGCTAAGCTTCATTACTGTTTCCCGCCAGATTGCTATAAGTGCGAAATAATCTGTAAATATTCAGCTATTAGCTGATCAGGATGCATGATCAAATTACGTGCGCATCACTCACATTGCCTGCGCTTCCGAATTATCCATTAGTACGATGAGCCAGAATGCGACAGAAGACTTTGTTGAGAGTGTGAAACGATCCGTTATATACCAGCCGTGACCGCGATAGTACTGTGGATTTAAGCCTGCAATCAAACACTTCCAAGAAACTGGTAAGTCAACGACTTCATATGATGCTGCACTGGCAGCTGCGTGTTGCTCCATCAACACATCACTGATCATAGCCACCATGACAATCGACGGGGATCAAAAAGTGAAATTGGCCGCGAAGATACTTCCTTTTCGCAAGGGGCGTAGATGCATCTGTAAGCAATTAGTAGCTATCAGGATACATGGCCATGCATCAGCATTTCAAGCAATGTGTCACTACTGGTCTCGCGTTTGATCGATCTTTGCCATTAGAAGGTAAATGCCATTTAATTCTTTGCTGTAACACAGGAATAATGCCACCATGGCGATCAAGAATCATGCTGGGCTAAGATCCAGGTAGGAATAGTCACTGCTTGTCTTGAAGGAGTCATACGAAAGAGGCGCCAGTGCGGCGAACAGCAACTCAGTGACGTTGATGGCAACTTGGAATTTTACTCCGACGTGAGAGTAGAGCGAGCGGCTGTGCAGCACGTGGCTTCCGGCCACTCACACAATCAGCGAGGAAGGCATGTAGGAATTAATGGCCGGACTGCAAAGAATGCAATGTGCATACTCCGCGCCAAAGTCTGGGGCATGTCTGTGGTCGGAAAGTTCCGGGCGGTCAGAGGTTTGTCTTGCATCATCGCAACTAAGTACCCTGCTATGTCAGCCACCGTGGGCGGCGGCGGCCCCAATTACACACGTGGCATCCCGCCATCTATTTCAACCACCATCATGCCAATCTCGTCATCATTGTCAGCTTGCCATCGCGGTTCCAGTCACCTGGAGGGAGGACATGGCGGCAGCCGTACCGCATGCAATAGAGCCGAGGAAGTAGTAGACAGAGATGCAGGCGTGAGGGACTTGTAGGGATAGGAAGAGATGGGGGTAAATATCCTGGTGTGGCAGTCTACATCCAGTTTGCGTAAACATTACGCAGACCGGCCAAATCCTGCACTTTCTGCACACAGCGCCCATGCTACACTCCAGCAAGCTCCGGTGTGCTTGCCGCAAAATCACGGTGAGTTCTGATGGCTCATTATTGTGTGCGTCCGATTCATGCAATGAAGGCAAGTCCGGCGGGGACGCTGGCCATGAGTAGAGTCCTCGAAAGTGCTCTCTCAAGCTTACTCGTGTAAGAAGTTCACCATCGCGAACTCTTGTCAGGTTTTTCGCCAGAGAACTGATAAGGGGAGGAATAATCCACCAAGTCACGATGATACCTTCTGCCAGTGGCGAGCGAGAGCGCTGTCCTTACCAACACCTGCCGCCATGCCGCGCATGCGGATTCTCGCACTAACACGCATCCCTGCATTGGCGCAGATGCCAGCACTCGTACTCACGCCCACACCTTACTACTTTTGTTACGAACTGTCTCTTCATCTAACCTCACCTCACCTTTGATTTGGGGATCTGAGGTTCATTTCGCTGATGTGCTTGCCTCGGCCCAGTTTGCACGGGTCGAGGGCGGTGTTACCCCTTCACTTACTATTTACTTGTAATCGAGAATACTTGTGTGCAAGAGCGCCCACGAAGTTTGTCCTATGAATAGAACAGTGATTGCGGACATTGTAAACGTAACGTTTCATAAATCTACGATCATCTAATCTCTGCGATTGAATTTGCATATCGATAAGAATCATAAGTACTAGTTTTCTCACAACGTACAAGTCATTCGTGACGAATAAAAGTATACTTCTTTCTCAGAACCTTTCTACATTAGTCACATGTCTTACAGGATACCGCTAGCGGCGATCTTGATCTCGGCCTTGGGCTTGCCAGTGTCAGTCCCGTACTTCTCAATCGTCTTCACGAGCTCCAAGCCCTCGGTGACCTCACCTGATGTATGAGTTAGTTCTGGTCGGCAGCTGATTAATGAAGATTCTCACCGAACACTACATGAGCGCCGTCGAGCCAGCTAGTGACGATGGTGGTAATGAAGAACTGCGAGCCGTTGGTGTTCTTGCCTGCGTTTGCCATGGACAAAAGTCCAGGCTTAGTGTGCTTTAATTTGAAGTTTTCATCTATAACATCACGATCAGATGCTGTATTCCGAGTACCACTATGGCCCTCACCAGCAAACTTCTCGCCGTAGATGGACTTGCCACCAGTTCCGTTGCCCCTGGTGAAGTCACCACCCTGAAGCATGAAGGATGGGATGATGCGATGGAAGCCAGAGCCAGCATATCCATAACCATTTTGACCAGTGCACAACTCGCGGAAATTCCTTGCGGTCTTCGGTACAACGTCATCAAAAAGTTTGAAAACAATGCGCCCAGCATTGTTGCCGTTGATGGTGATGTCGAACTATAAAATCAGATAGGTCAGATATAAGTCCCTCATCGCGAATAACGCCGATATGACACTCACGTAAACGTCGGCCATGATGGATAAGAAAGAGACTTGAGATTGGAGGTTTGCGGGAGCTGCTCTGATAAAAGGGTGAGTCGGACGATGCCGATCTGAGTCGGAGATGATCATCGGATCTCGGAAGTGATTATCTGCCACCGTGCGTGGGGAGATTCCTCCGAGGCAGTTCCGTGATCACAACGGTCAGCCGCCACAAGCCGCGGCCTGTGCCATCCAATTTGAATCGTAATCACTGACCCCTATAAGTATTCGTATACGTCATCTAGCTGCTGAATATTCGACTGAAGAATCCAATTTTCGGTAGCTCTGCCTCATCTTTATATCTGATTATAATCCTGCCGTCCCGAGACACAACCTTGAGCTCGTCCCCGTCCCAATCGTTGCCCAACAATCGATGCGAAACGTCTCCGACGAAATACCGCCGTGTATGCTCAACAGTGCTTAACATGGTGCTCTGTTTTAAAAGGTCGTCGGAAAGCTTTGTACTTTGCCTGGTTTTCAGGAGAAGCGAACCGTGGAATGACCGAGGTAGAAGGACGGTTACTCGTCCATCGCGTGAATAGATGTCCAACAGGAATGGTGCAACGACCTTGACTGTATTCTGGAGCGCATCAGGCGGTGCAATATTTGTAATGATCAATACTCACAATCTTGGCCGTGATGCTTCCGTCGGCGGAACTTAGCGAGAGCGTAGTGCGCCTACCACTCCTAGGAGTAGCTTCCTCTTGACCGATCAACCAAATATCTGCATCGATACTCCCGTCCTTTGTGCGGAGGTACAGATTTTTCCTTTCCTGATCTGTTTCTCCTGTATTCAGTTGAGGAAGCAGACTGGGGGGTATTTCCATCTGAGGGTTGATCACATAACAGCCTCGTATAGGTTTATCCTTGAGTACAAGTGAAAGAAAATTGGTAGGCTTGGAAGGAGGCTGAAACTCGGTGGAACTTGAGCTTGATGTGTGCTGCACGTGTGTTGAATATGCTGGAGGTGGTGCATCCTGAAGACAGCAGTCAACGATAGCGGTAATGTCTGGAAGATATCTCATCAACGAACATCCATGGCGTTGTTCGCCGCCTCTGGTTGATCTCTCCCGGCCTCTTCCACCTCGGCAGACTCATCCTGGAGCTGCTTCTCTGGGATGATCATTGAGGACTAGTGGTAGTACAAGTAAAGATGTCAAAGGTTGTTGGGTGAGTTCGCAAATGCAAGGGGGAATACTGCGGCGCTCTCGAGGTACTGCGGCTGCGTGCTGCGGCATTAAATGATCGAGGCAAAAAAAAGCGGGCAGCTGTTGGTCGATATCGGACGCCACATACATGCATATCATACGTACTGATTGTAAGTTGCGCACCCCGAAGTAGTGTAATTAACATTCAGGCACCTGCGCCTGTATCAAAACTTGTATGTCGCTTTCGGAAAAGATTTCCTTTTTGCACGTTTCTAGCGCCTTGTGCAGGCGCAACTTGTACAAGCGCTGTCTCTGTTCTCTGAAGAGAACGGAACATTCCAAGAGCAGAAGAAACTCAAAAGGAAATCAGGGAGAAAGGGGTGCCGGTGACTGCGCACATGCATGTGTAACATTGATAGGGATAATTAAAGAGGAGACGCTCAATGATCCGGCGGAGTCGGGATTAGAAAATAGCCGTACAATCATATGACTCCAAGAAGCATTACCACCCGAATAACCGACTCAAAAGACCTCCTTTGCTCGTATCGTCTATACTGGTATGCTCTTCAACAGTATTTTATCCTGATCTTTCCATGTTTTGCGTCTACCCGCACTTCATCCCCAGGCCAATCACTGTCACCAACCATAGACAAGTCTCCAACAAAATATCTGCGAGTCAAATCTACTTGACTGAGATGCGTGCAGTTCTCGGAGAGAGTACCAGCGAGTGAGACGGAGCCGTGCCTGGTCGTTAGAAGAAGGAGACCATTGAAAGAGCGTGGAAGAGTAACATTCACAGCTCCGTTCTTGGCGGAAATGGTTAACAAGAAAGGCTCAGCCCCAGTGAATAGTATACTAGCATTCTGATCAACGGGGGACTATAGCAATCGAATAGACTGACATACTAACTCGTGCAGTAACAGAACCATTTTCAGAGCCAAGGTCGAGTATCGTGCGTTTTGGGGACTTCTTGGAATCGGAGGGTTGGGCGGACTCGAGCACCGAGCAGCCATATGTCTGCACTGACAGATCCATTTGTCGAGTGCAAGGGATAGATTCTTTCTGTCTGCCTTCGCTTCTTCTGGACACAGCGGTGGAAGAAGAGATGTGGGGATGGTCATGCCAGGATCTATGACGTACTCCCCCTTGATAGAGCTATTATCATTGAAGAGATACAAGTAATTCGTTGGTTTGGACTTGGGTGTGGGCTGAAGAGGAGTGCTAGAAGAGGATGCACCCGCAATTGCATTTTGGTCCGAGGTGTTGTTATAATATGAAGGAGGCTGTGAGTAAGATCAGTAAACTAGGAGAGGAGAGGTAGAAAGATTTGACGCACTGCTTCTCCGGGAAGCTCACCCTCAGTTTCTGGGGGAGCTTTGAGTTCAGAGGAGGTTGGATCTGTCGCGGTAGAGTCCTGTGAAGGGATGATCATTCTGCGATGTAGGTATTGCAAGTTGAGCTGGTTTTTAAGGTTCTTGCTCTACTCTATGGGAACTTCAGCTTGTGAAGTTCCCGCTGCGTACAGCAAATTAAAGCTGCGGCTGCGCCTACAGGCTTAAGTAATGAAAGGCTGGGCACTGATTGCTGCCGGACAAGTTATGGCAGGTCAGAACCATCTTTGACAGTCTATTGTGCCTCAGGCAGTCACCTGTACCGGGTGGCACAGACTATGTCTGGCAAGTAGAGACAACCCAGAACATCTCTCGCATTTGAGAGAACATGAGAGCACCGCCGCTGCTCAACAGGAGCTCTAACCGTGTTACATGTTTGATGAATGTGAAATCATGCAGACTAGAATGGTCAACCACAGGTAGAATCACCCGCGATATAGGACGTGCCACATTGTCAAGTTCCGATCACCTACAGATCGCGCAAAGGATTAAAATCATGAGCTTGGATGTCATATATGCATATGAATATCGACCATTGCAGGACGAAGAAATTTTACATATGAACCCGTACTTAGGTATGCATGCAAATCCATACTCCGTGGCGCCTTCAATCGTAACAGACAATCAGAAAGTAGAAGGACGATGAGCGACGAATGTCGCAGCAGATTTGCCAACACGGTGGGGAAGGGGGAACTTGAGGTTGGGGGTAAGGAGCTGCTTGATGTACGGGCGGCGGACATCATCAGTCTTAGCGATCTCAACAACACGGAGGATCTGAGGAAAGACAGAAATCAACATGATGAAAGATGGGAAAATGTCAGGCCATACGTGGATCGACCGGAAGCGGGCACGATGCCTGGCAGCCATGTCCTGGTAAAGGCTTTTGACTGCATCAGCACGGGAGAGGTCACGGAACTCCTTGTACATGTTGTGGGTTCCCGATCGCGAGTCGTAACGGAGCCAGATACCGAAGTTCTTGACCTTCAGAGGTTTTGCCTCATGTATCTGTAACACAGGTCATATAGACCGTTAGCAATCCCGTTCCGCCTGCCACTTGAACGGCTGCAAGGGATACACACAACGTTGACACCAATGATTTCACCACTGGCTTTCTTGACCTTCTTCAATTGCCTAGGTGGATGTTACATTGCGTTTTAAAAAAAACTTTGGAGGCTAGCGTACCTGAGGAAATACCAGAACCGGGATTTTGCAACAACTTCATTAGGAGCAAAGATGCGCATGCGATAGATTTTGGGGTTGGGATCATTGGTGGTAGGTAAGTGACGTCCGACGACCTGGAATTCTTTGAGGCCCATCTGGTGCAGATCATATCAGTACACATCCAGACAGGAAGAGTGACATCCATCAAAAGAAACAGTTTTTCTAGGTTGTTTTCCTCGATAGAACTCTCTATATGCATGTTAACGTCGTAAATGAGTTGCTCACTTTGAGATTGACTTGTTCTTGAGGCGTTGACGTTGGCGAGGACGGCGAAACCACTATCTACACCAAGGTTTGAGGTAGTTGTTTGTCAATATTTGTGGCTGTGGCGAATCACGAGGCCTGCTGTTCTCAGACTCCAATACAAACTCAAAGATCTACTATTTGAGATCTATCGCACGCAGATTCTTCATGAATCATGATGATGAAGAGAATGCAGTGTAAATTGTACCATTACAAAGTGCAGAATGATCATAAAATGCAGATCTACTCGACACTCATTGCAGTATCCATCATCTCGGTGACGCGATTGGCCCCAGCCTGCTGACTCGGTCGCGAAGAGAAAACGATATCTTTCAAAACCTGAGATATCAAACCATGTTGAGCTTCTGCGGCGATTTTGATGCTACAAAAACATAAGCTTGGCTGTACTACACAAAAACAGAGACCTACCTATCCTTCACACCCTTTGCGAGTTGATTGTCTTCTTTCTTCTTTTCTTCCTTCTGCAACAAACACGTATGAATATTTAGTGCACAGACAATTGGAGGATAATATACTTTTGGTGCACTTGATGCCTTCTCCTCCTGTCCTTTCATTGCTGGCAAAGGCGCCCGTGTACTGGACACTGTAGCCTGAGCCTTGGAGAGTTTCTGATGCAGATCTACGATCTGTGACACTGCATACGCCCGATTCTGTACACGTGGTATATGAGAAAACAATTGAAGCTAGCAGAAGCCTCTCACCGAAATTAAAGGGCTCTGGCTAAGTGTGTTAACCCAGTACTTGTTCCACAACAGACCGAGCAGTTCAGTGTCCAAGCTCGATTTGAACACCTCTACGTCTAGTGGGTAGTACTGGTTCGCGTGCACACCAAAATCTTCAATTTTGCTCAGGGGAATGGATTGGTATTCGGAAGCGGATACGTTAGGAGGCGTGTAATTCGATGGGTACGTGCGGAAGGCACCAATGTCAACTTTGCCAGCAGAGATCGTGCGATTTGGGTCAATCTATCGCATTGAGGGTCAGACCAGCAATCGAGCCGAACATGATAATGATGGACGCACCACGACGGCCACGAAAGGATCCTGGAACTGCTGGTTGTTCATTTGGGTGTCCACATCTATTCCCGAAAGCCAGCACCCATAGCCTGGATGTGAGTGGTACCAGCCAATAGCATTCTCCAATCTTTTGGCCTAAGGGGAGTGAGCGCAAGTTGTCTAGAAAGTTCAATTACATACCTTCTCGCTCTCCGAGATATACTTTACCATGTACTCATTTGCCTCGTTCGCAGCATTAACACGCGTCTCCGTGCCCTGCACAGGAAGTGCAAAGGAGTCCATGATAACCAGCGAGTTGCCCATCACCTTGCCTTGCATGAGTCCCATGATCTCGTGCGGTACTCCTGATCGTGCATGAATGACCTGCGGAAGAAACAACGTCAGATTGCCCGTTGAAACTTCAGCTATTGAAGCTTTCCATCTTTATCAAGGCGACTGCTGAGATCTTGCATGATTTGAAGTATTGTGGACTATCAGAGAAGTCAATGAGGCCTGCTCAAGTGATATGGGGTCGCCGACATACTCCTTGTCCCATGGTGCCTCCCGGTTTATCCGCTTATTAGCCTCGACATCAAAGGCATATATCTCATCTTGAGGCGAAACTTCAAATACGTCGTTTGCTAGCGAGAAGGTCTTGAACGCGGTGCTAGAAGTCATATGTGGTGGTAGATGACAAGGGGCCACATGATTTGTGGCGGAGGCAGATTCCAAAATGTACAGTGCAAATAGTAATAATATTGACGTCGTGCATAGGCGAATCAGACACGGAACATATGAGTGATCTCCTACTAGCCATGGTACTAGTCAACGTTTTGGGAATAATAACCATCTAATGCCTTCGTACAACATCTGAATGTTTATAGGAGACATCTCCGTATCATCTGAGAGTAATTCTCCTCTCGTCCTTTCTATCAGAAGCCGAATGTTAGTATTGGCTAGCCCCAGCTAGTAGCCACAAACTAACTCTCCGCTTCAACTGCAGCTCTCCGCTCCTTCTTCTCCCTCAACTGACGCTCCATTTCTTCGAACGCGTTGAGGACGATATCGTGCCTCTGTTGTGTAGCTGGTGTATTGGTTCGAACGCGGTCCGGCCACTCGGATTCTGGTATTGAAAGAGCGGAAAGCGACGAGCGCAAGGCCACGATCGACTCTTTGTAAGCTTCCAGAGATTCTTCGTAAAGGTCATAGACACAAATTGCACATCCTGACATGCAACATTCTTGCCTTATGTCAGACACTGGAAGTTAGCTTTGGTGGAAAATTTACCTTCGTCTGAAGGTGGTATGGGTTCCTTGGGGATCACAAAGCCCGCGATGGTATTGGGAATATTTTGCGCACCATAGGGCGAGGAGGATAGCGATGGAGGCGACAGACTGGCCTTGGATGCGTCCTGAGAAATCTCGGATATCTGCTTCATGAGAGCATTTCCCCCCCGGAGAGTATTTTCTAGTCTGCGGTAGCGTTCAGTGAGATTTTGTCCACCTCTACTTCGATTATTCCAATAGTTTCGGGAGATGGATGGTATCGACAAAACAGCGTTGAACGAGCTTGTCGTATTTGTAGTCAATGAGTGTAAGCATGGCGTGCGAGTGCGTGCAGATACTGCTATCCTCCACTGGCCAAAAGACAGCATGCATACTCCTGTCGTCTCGTTAACCGTCCTGCTCAAATCGCAGGTTAAATAACGAGCTTGCCAGTCCTGGAAGTCTACTGGAGATGATGTTTGATGACAAACGTTGGCTGCGCTGAGTCAGAGTCAGAGTGTGCAGTGTGCTGAGTCAGCTCCCACACCCACATGACTCGGAATCCCCTAAGTCAGAAAAGTTCGACTTTGCATTTTTCTCCTACATTGTGAAACGTGGTACTGATTAAATATTGAATTCTGAAGCCGCGTTCTATCAGTCTGGTGAGTCATCAGTACTCAGTCTCCGCTCGAAGAGTCAATCCGAACTTGTCGCGTCATTATTCGGGCCTACCTAGTACCGCAAGAAAACGCCGCGACGTTTTGTTCTCAAAATCGTCGTTGCCCCGAACTACCACAATCTTTGGCATATGCTGCTCCATCTTACTTTAAGAATACCTCACAGGCTTCATTGTGGTGCGCGGGCCTGCACAAAGGAAGCTTGGTCCTCAGCGGTTTCTCTGAGCTCTGTCATGAATCTTAATGACGACACTTCGCAGGTGATTTCACCAGAAATGAAAATCTGGGCAGCACGGCCTCCGGAATTACCGGTACTCTGGGATAGAAGTTTGATGGAGATCCCACTGAATTCACCGTTGTTGGAAAAAGTACCGGACTGGGAGGTGCGAGCATATGGTCTTCTTGCTCGTGGTGATTATCAAAGTCTGGGCAGGCACAGACCGCGCCTTTCAATCGTGCAGTCGCACAACAATGGATTTAGGGGGCTGACTACCAACATTAATGCCTCACAAGCAGAAAATTATTTCGGTATGTCATCAGGAATCGCTGGGGTCCAGAATAGAAACAAGACAGTGTCAATATTACGACTGATGATGATTCTAAGAGACCAGATCTCGAGTGTGTGATTCCAATCATGGTTCTGCACCCAAATCACGCGGCCGCGGCGTACTAATGAATGGCCATCTCATCCGTGGAGAAACAATATCATCATCCTCGCTGCAATTTGGATGATAGCAATATTGACTCCAGTGGCATATCCAGGTGCTTCTGTCACAACTCCAATTCGTTGATCGACAAGGTCGTCGATGACGATGGTCGGTCTCCCCAACCGACCTCAAATTTCCTTCTCATTTCCGAATTTCCTGCCCCGGCGATTGCTTCTCCTCCGAGGTGCTCGTTTACGTCAAGAATAACAAGCCTAATATCTCACGCATGGAAGGGATCTAACCTTATGTCACCCATGAGCTCTACTCCCATGTAGACGATGATGGCGGAGGCGGAGGTCCGATCAACGATTTGGTATCAATTACGTTTCATGTTTCTTCCGAACCACCTTGAGTGGTCGTATATATCAAACGGAGACAAGAGGATGATTTGTGCAACGAGTTGGACATACTGAAATTCCAGATCGTCCCCGGTGCTTATCATTCTTCTTTATCTTATACCCAATATTCACCCCCTCCTAACAACCCACACAATTCCAGGACATACTGCTACTGCTTACAAGTGGGTCGGATTTTAGTAACGTTAGTGCGCACATTCCACCTTTAATTAATCTTCGATCAACGTGGATAGAGAGTCCAGACGAAGGCGGATTTTAACCTTCGTGCACATTCCTCCGTGAGGCTTCGATCTTCCAATGTGCCTACACGCTTTAAAACTCTCATCGATCAAGGAAAGACATCGTGTACTTGGAAATTTACCAGATATTTTAATAGTCAGGATGACTCGATAGGCTCAACGAGTGGCATGTCCGAGGAGAGGATCAGATTTGAATTGTCTGCCTATCATCGCTTCAACAACCGTGAACAGGGTTCTATACAGGCTGTGGAAGAGCTATGCATGTCCGGAGACTGCGATCAGATATTCTGTGCAACTGAGACAACAAGAACCTTTTGTGCTATCATTTTGGGGCACGGCGAGTAAATTCTGCCAGATCGGCAAAGGGTGTTCTCCATTTGGTCAGTCTTCCCAGTACTTTCTCCTCAGAACGTGGACAAGCGCCCATGAAGCATGCAAATTTTTGCTTTGACAAGAACTTAGGGTAAGACTATGAACCATACTGCTTTCATATGTCTAGGTAAATCTCTATCCTCGTTCTCGATATACTAGTTGTCGAAGATACGATGACTAGGGATGAGGCTGTGAGTTATGTCAGCTCACGTCGTTTTTGGACCCTATTGAACCTACCAATGAGGTGGAGACCTTCATCAAGCTACACGATTGGCCCGCCAGAAACTGGTGTATGAAATTCATACCCGTCCGTAGCTCCATCATATTGCTGCCGGCCCATCGCCTGAGTGTAATTGAAGTCCGACAGATTGGCGCCTACGATAAGATTTCAATTTATTCTGTTTCGTGGCCTTTAGAGCGCCTTTGGAATCTGGATCTAGGGATTGGCTACTGCGTACATCATACACCATCATCAGCTTTTGTCTAATCTATGTATGAGAGTCTCGATGTTAACCAGGTCGCACATCTAAGCTAAGCAGAAGGAAATGCTTCAACTATGCAAGCGTATCGCGGACGCTGTGATCAAAGGACAATCGATACAAAAGAAGGAAAGGAACGAAGACTGGGAGTGTATGCTGCCGAAGGGGCAAGCGCATGTTGATGCCAAGGCAGTGGTGGGTCCTTGAATTGCGCAGGTCGCGACACCCACAGACAGGCCACGAGAATCATGATTGGCACCATAGTTGCCGCTGGGAGATCAAACACCCACAATTTTCACCATTGCTTTGATGGGCTTGAGTTGTTCATTGGTTACATTGTTGGGGATGCTAGGCGACCGGACGATTGGAGCACCCAGTGTCTGTCGAAACGTAAAATTCAACGCGTATACTGCATTTTAAACGCGGATACGTACGAGGATGTCGCCATTCTGCAAGAGAGTTTGTTGTACTATTCGGATACCATTCACATATGTTCCATGTGTGGTGTTTTGATCTCGTATGAGTATCTGGAATGGATCTTTAGTGTCTGTTCGTCATATTGGAATACGCGTTCTCTAACCTGTTTATTTTGAAGCCAGATTTCAGCATGTGGTGATGAAATGGATATTGAGCCACCCGGGGTGAACGCTTCTGGTCCCAGCCTGACATTGCCCGTGAACGATAGCCTGATGGGTTCGAAGGGACAACTGTCGGCCGTTGGGGACAGAGTGAGGCAAGGAGCAACGCAAAAGTTCATTTGGAGGAGAGCTGCCATAGTCGAAGGTGGTGTCTGAACAAGATCGACTCATGCAATATATATATGTATGTGTTTGCGAACCGCAATCGAAAAAAGGGTGCAAGCCCTGAGGTACAGTCGACTACCGCCAGGTTATTTATTATGGTTCTGGAATGATACCCAACATAGGGATCAGACTCCCAAATGCGGTCTTCATATCGAGCCGCCCACGTTCCTTGATGTGGACGGAGTCCTAGGATGATCGAGGAACCAGAAAATGAAGATAAATACTAACGGTTAATTCAGTTTACGAGTTATTGGCGAGGTGGGGGATTGATTACGCGAGGTTCCGGAACTGCCTGGGTTGTGACTGTGATGAGTGACTGGGTGGGAAGTGGTTTTCATTCCGCGACCTCGTGGCATCCAGCGCGTCGCCTCTCTGACTGCGCGTGCATTATGATGATCTGAGTCCTGATCACGGCCATTGTTTTAAAGAACCTCCTTCAAATGCAGCGAGAAGAACGGCATTGGAGCTCGCATTCAGGAGGTGCTTCCGAATGGGAAGGTAAACATTAAATTACCCTCTCGCGCTGGCCCCAATCGTCGACGTTTCGGCATCGATGTCCACGTCATCTCAACAATTCGACGAAGAAGAGGACGAGGATGCTACCAAAATTGACATAATGGCGACCGAGGGTCCGACACACCATCCACAGCGATTCTTGCTAACACCGCTATCCCGACTAAGGCTATGGTACGATCAGCTATAATCCTCTATGCTTGTGGGGATCCCGATTGATATCCCCGGTCCCGAAGATCTCGTACCCCAAAAGGGCTCGAACGTGGTTAAATTGAACATGAGTTAGTGTGCATTCGCAGAGGATGTCCTAAGATGCTCGCTCTTCTGGGCAAGCAATATAATACAAACCAAGTATTAATAACCTGAATGACACGAGACACCGAGGAAGTTGCGCAATGATGAGTAGATTTGATTACTGGCCTAACGGTGGGCTCAACCTAACCAAAGGTGAGAGTGGCGGCGAAGTGTGCTAGCGCAGGTGTGACTTTACAAGATGACGTGACTGCGAGCTCCACTGTCACCAAGGTTTTGATTGGGTTTGAAACTTTGTCCTCTAGTAGGCAGCTAGCAGGTTCAGGTTCTATTGGACAGAACAACTTTCAAGGTCTGGACTCTGCTACATCATGTCGTGTCCCGTAAGGTGGGTGTTCCCCATGGAGAAATCAGAGGGTCAGTCATCTGCCGGCGGCAAAACCGGCCTAAGCCGGGCGCAGCAAAAATTTTAATCCATGTTTCGCTAAACTTTCACCAATACTACTAAGTAAGCTTGCCGGCGGGAGAATGGTAGTGTTTCTCGGTGCCACGGGTGCCAAATCCTGACCAGCAAGCACTGATCTAGTTTCCCGGAGTCGAGATTGATGATACTAGCAGTGTCGCCCCTGCCATTTTCGCGCGATCATGACAGCCAAGGCGGAAGTCTGCCTGCAGTGTTCATAACTAAGCGCTAAGCTTTTTTTAATGTTATTTGATGTAACCCCGGCCGTGCACGTACACTGCTGTTTGAATAATGACTAGGTCTCAAGTCATTCACGTAGATAATAGTTTTTCACGGTACACTAGCTGCCAAGTTGTTTCCCTGAAGAGTGAAAAGACTTGCTCAAACATCTTTAGTTCTTGAGGATGCCATAATAATGTGACGTTTGTTACTGTGGCACGTTCCCTCTCTCTTCGTTTTACTACATCCGAGCTTGCACAACGTATTCTCACTCGTGGAAGTCATAAGGTGGCTCGGTCGTAATGAAGGCCCAGCTTCGTAGGTAGGACAATTTGATCATTCATGATGTGTATTAACTGCTTAATTCTACCTATCTGACAGGGCCTCGCGTGCTTGAGTTGTATTAATTGTTCTTCCTGCGTTTCATCGCGCGGAACCAACAAATATGACTGTGAACTTCATTCTTGCGCTTTAGATAGCTACCTTTTGGGCGAATACGTTGCTCCTCGGTGGTCTCAGGGCCCTATCATACGATTGGGCCCCAACAGCTTCCCAAGGTGTGCTATGGGCCCACGGAAATTTGAAAGGTTCACTCCCGAAACAGCCAGCAGCTGCTGAATTTGAAAATCTGTTGACGGAAAACGCTGGCACCAGTCCGCAAGAAGTGTGGATCTTTACAAAGTCACAGGGGAATATCACCAATTTGTACGTTATCAGCCTCATGCTACACCACAGTCATAACAAGACTGGAATTTAGTTTCTGGGACCATCCGTGCTGACACGTCAATTGTGTCAGGGTGGCTCATCGCTTGTTTCTCACTCCCATTCTGCCGTATATCCTGCTGCCAGGGAGGGTTGAGGGTGTTTCCGCAGGATTCCATCAGAAGGCACTAGTCCTTTGTGAACGTATGAGTGACGTGGACGGGAATCCGTTGGTTCAGGAACCTGTGTCGGATCGTAGTCCTGCGGATCTCGAGGCTGTAGAGACTGTCCAACCAAAGAAAACTGCGTTAGTGTTCATTCCCGCTGGATCTTGGTTTCTCATTAATTTTTCCCGTCGGGTGGTTAGTTTCCGAGTTTTCATATTTCTCATCCCACTTCATGTTCATTTTTCATATTGATTGCATTAATTGCAACGGCAGTCTATAAGCCATGCGCTAAGCAGGGTTATCTATGAGCCAAACCCGTGACGTTTGCGACTTAGACGGAAGTTTGTCAGAGGGAGGTACAAGCCTTAGTCAGTGACTGGCTGTGGCCGTTAAGGTTTTCCCAATACCGCCGGCCACATAGTGTCTGTGATAGTGATAAGTTCATTTTAGTTCTGATTATCTATTCCCTGCCAGATCCTCGTTGCAACCGCGTTGGCGTTATTGCTGTAAGTTTCATGATCAACATTTATGTAAGCTCCTTTGCTTCTCTACACGCTAAACTAATCATGTGGTGGGCTGTTGGGGATCCCGAGCTTGTTTTTCTCGTTCACGACATCTCCATCTAGTATATCCAGGCTAACGGCGATGTTGAAATAGGTAATCATGCGCAATGGTCGCCTGCCTATCACACGGCTCCGCCCGCTGGTGTAGCTTCTTCACACCCGTCAATCATCATGATCCGTCGCGCATGGTTTGATTGCCGCAGGTTGGTCTCCATTTTGCAGGTTTTCTATCAAACTAAGAGTGCACACGAGGCTGCGATTATGCCGAGAGTTGCGCTTCAATCGAAACGAGGCTGGATCATCTCCGCAGTATAAGTACATAGTTGCATCCCTTCTTGGCCGTTTGTTGATCTTCTGCCAGCATGGATACTTCTGACACGAAGACATTTACAAGCAACCAGCTCAGCGTTACCATGCAAGATGAATCGCGTAATGCGAGCCTTCTCTCAGACTTCTTCGCCCTATAATATTACTTCAGACGTGAGTCGTGCATGCCTGCCCCACAGACATATCCGCAATAACGTCGTATTGGTGGATCTTGATAGCAAGTGAGTACTAGTCATGATAAGGTGATCGGTCAACTTTCCTTAGAGACCCTGAATTCTATCTGCATGTGTTTTCGCTCCAAGGGCCTTTGTGGGCGATTTGTCTCACAACAGTTGTCATCAGCCTAAACGAAGAAAAACACAAACATAGGGAGAACGTGACACTGAATGTATGCTTTCCCCACATAGCATAACAACACAACTCATGTTTTTCTAAGCGACCTCGCCCCCTTATGTGATTTCCACTCGCGGGAGAAGTGCCAGTCTCGAACGAGTAAGCCGATTATCATTACACCCCACTGTCTGGATTTGGGTGAACACTCCACCTCTTGTTACGTGTCATTTTACATTATTAGCCTTCCCGCATCCACCTATCCACACTGGTACGTTGGGTTTCCCATCGACGTCTCCAGCAACTTGATTCAGCTTGTCCAGTACCTCAAACCCAGTTTTCAATTCCCCAAATGCCACGTATTTACCGTTCAACTTTGCAAGCTGCATCTCGTCATCCGTGAGCACAATGAAGAACTGGGAAGAATTCGTATTTTTGCCGGAGTTAGCCATCGCCAGAGTGCCTCTTCTCATCTTGATCTTCAAGCCATCCTTTTCATCGTTGAATTTGCCGCCATATATCGACTGGGTGAAATCAGAAAATTAATTAGTTATATTTCGAGCACGAACCTCACCGCCACTGCCATCTCCCCTTGTAACATCGCCCCCCTGCGCCACGAAATCTTTCACGATGCGATGTATCGGGCATCCCAAGTAATACAATTCTTTGTTACGTGCATTTTTACACTTTCCTTTCTCCCCTGTACACAGCGCAGTGAAATTGGTCGTCGTTTTTTTCAGAGAGGCCTCGAGGTTTAACTCAAAGACGAGGCGGCCGACACAAAGGGCCTCTGCCGGCATGAAGCGTAGTACATGCGATTTCTATCGACATTAGAAGATGGATATCTTTGAATATGTTGGCAGTAGAGCAATCGGCAGAAATGCAAATACATCGATTTCTCTGAGCATTTCTTGTTGCTCTGATGATAGATGTTGTGGGTCGGATGGCAAGCCGTAGATTGCTGCATTATTAGCGAGGAAATTGCTAGTAGCAATAAATGCGGCTTCATCGAGTTTGTGCTGTTCTTCATCTCCCATAAAAATATCGAGATAAACGGTGGAAGACATTTGCATAGAATTTGAGTGTTAGATTCAGATTCTGCATTGTGCAAAGTTCACTTGCGTGACATCACACGTCACGGTGGCATTACTCACCAACCATTGCCGCAGCTCATGGCAGCAAGCGGCTCTCAACAATTCCCGCCTGTTTCACTCTGAAGCCGAGGACTGCTGCAAATTAGCATGGCTTCAGCATACTACGAGTTTTACCGAGGGTCATCGTATGTTCCAACGGTTTACCTGATCGTTTGGCTGTTCACGGCTGCAGAATTGGAATGGCCCTGACAGACTCGCTGGACGAGCTTATCACAAGCGGCGCTATCACACCGCAATTGGCCATGAAAGTCCTTCAACAGGTATTTGTTGATTCAATGTCCGTCATGTCAATGAGCGTTGACCACGAGTTCTGACAGTTTGACAAGTCGCTCGCGGACACGATGGTCAAGCAGGTGAAAACTAAGACTACCCTCAAGGCTCGTTCGCTTCTGAGTTTTGAAATGAAAGACTTCTCACAGCTTTTATCCTTTTCTTTCAGGGCAACCTTCGGACATACCGTTTGTGCGATGATGTGTGGACATTCATCGTCAAGAACCCGTCTTTCAAGATGGAATCGAACGAAATGGTCTCAGCGGCTCGTATAAAAATAATCGCATGCAAGAATGGAGATGCCATTGAAGCAGGCAAGAAGTAGCCGAGGCATCTCTCACCGCTCGAATATCCCTTATGGCAGTTACTTCATACTTATCCATACAATGTTGTACTACCTTTCCACGCTGTTGTTTCTGGTTGTCATGGATAGATAAGCAAATATTGGTTTCGGTTCCGATACAAAGTCTTTTTAAAATCGTCGCTTGATTAACTAGGCTTAGGTCGTTGAGACTGGGGTACCGATAGCCTGAATGAATGATGATACGACTTTGGTAGATAAAACAGAAAACTCGCAAGACATGAGGGGCCCCGTCACTCCGCCATCCCCAAGGGCCAAGCTCACAAAACCCACGTGGCCATATATGGGACTTTCCATCAGTTTCAGCTCATCCAACCTGTTGTTCCTGTCCAGCCTTTTCTCACCGTGAACACATCCACACTATCGTCCGTCATGACGCCTTCCGCATATTTAGCCCATTATCCGGAGCCACCAACGGACGCAGCTGTTGCTGATGCTCGCAGAGAGCTCCAGGCACAGCAAGAGCAGCTCTTAGCGCTCTCGGAAAAGATTACATCCGCGGAAGACGCCCTGGCTCAAATTGTTGTCGAGAGAAAGCGCGCTATACGTGACCTACGACGCGAAAAGTTGTTGTTAGAGGAGAAGGTGATATATACCAAGGCGTATATCTCTCCTATACGCCGGTTGCCACATGAACTACTCCGCCATATCTTCCTTTTCAACTTCGATGATCATCCTTGCTGTGCTTGGGTGCTTGCATCTGTCTGCACGCTATGGCGAAGACTCACGCTGTCAATGCCGAGGCTGTGGTCCAAGGTGAGATGATGCAATTCTTCGCCTTTCAGCTTTGGTATTGCGTCATGGAAGATGGTATCGATATCCTCGTATGTGTGTGCGGTGGAGGCAGTTACTGCCCTCGTAGCTCGTTCTTGATCTCATTTCTTTCGTTTATGATGTTGACTCTTTCATGCTAGATAAGACTCGTGACAAATCAAAGCGCAACCGCCGATACCATACGGCTTTGGCTGGAACGTTCTGGAGACAAAGTGCCGCTTGATATCGAGATTTACTTGCGAGTAAACGGTGTGTCTAACGAGGGCTCATCGACCCGTACACGACCTGCCTCACCTACGCCGTGGTTGCATCCGCCCAGTCCACCACCTCATTATGTGATCCCACACCCTCCTGGAACAGCGATGCTCCTACCACCCGCCCATACTCCTATCATTGTCCCCCAATCACCCTCGCATCACGATTCATGGGGGTCACCCCCTCCACCTTCTTCAAGAAACACCCCACAAGCTCAGCGGAACGCTCACTGGGGTCATATCGCAATATTCTACCTTATCGAGCAAATGCATCGATGGCAACGGTTTGTCTTTAGGTTCGACAGGCAATTTCCATCCATGTCCGCGCTGAAATCAATAGCTGGTACGTAACCATGCTCAAAACGATTCAATGTCATTTAATGGGGAGAGTAATAGGCGACGCCCCCATACTTAGAGAATTTGAAATCTCTTGCGCCGAAACTATTTATGCGAGTGAATGGCCTTGGATACCGAGTTCAAGTCCAGCGACTAGTATGGCTCTTGGCAAACTAGAGTCACTGATGTTACACCACGTTCCATTCAAATGGTCATCACCGATATTCAAAACCAATCTACGGTCGCTTAATCTCCGTTCACTTCCATCGAATCATCTACCGTTGGATCGCATCATGCACATTATCGCCAGTAACCCAGATCTTGAATCACTCACGTTGTATTTTGCTGTTGCTCTGCCAGCTATTCTTCCCCTTGTCCAGACTTCGTTACCTCGGCTTCGTGAACTCACCTTTGGCGGTCACTACCACATGTCGCAACTAGCGGACTCTCTCGTGCTTCCCTCTTTAGAGATACTCAACCTCGATGTAGAAGCCCGTGATCCGATAGAAGACACCATTACCAATCTCCTACAACGCTCGAACAATCCACCGATTACCCGCCTCTCTGTCTCGTACGGCAGTACCTCGAGCTCGACGCTTTATTATGGCCCTGGCGGAGTCGTTATCTCATGGGGTTTCCTAACGGACCTAAACCATCTGCAATCGTTGAGCATAGGCGGGACGCCGCTCGAGCCATTTTTGTCGGCGCTCGGAATGCCCGACGAGGAACAGACCCATTGGGCGTGCCCGAATTTGACGACGGTGGCGATGAAAAGTTGTCATGCGCATTCTGATGGGATAGCGAAGCTGGTGCAGCTTGTGGAGGCTCGCAATCCAGAGTCGGGATCTGCGACGATGGTGAATGGAGTTATACCGACGAGACTGCAGCACCTGGAGTTGTATGATTGTGCGACACTGGGACAGGATGTGATAGAGTGGCTGAAAAAGAGGGTAGATGAGGTTATTTGTACTGAGCCTTCTTCGTATGTAAGGTCTCCTTAAGGTTGCGTGAGCCGAACTTGTGTTGATACTATTTATTACGCAGGACTCGCGGCTCTAGCTGTTGTGGATTAGTGGCGTATTTTTGATTGTTGTACATACAGTGTTGTAATTCACTTGGAGTGTAAATGTATTTATTTTTTTGGTTCCGCCTTGTGTTTTCGTAATCATGACGATATCGACGTACAGAAGTACCTGCAGGATGTAGTATTGATCGCAGCGACCGCATTGCACTTGACAGTTGCTTGGCAGCGCCACGAAGATGTGTAGGTGCCTGTTAGCTCCTTCCGCCGAATGTTTTATTACCGTGAAGATGTGTTTCAAGTATTTTGGTTTTTACTGGTAGGATAAGCAACTGCGATCAAAGCAAGGTTGATTGGTGATGAAGAAGAAATGATTGGTCCCACCGTCGACCGAAGCTTGGTAAGATCATATAATCTAGTTTACTCATAGTTGACTAGTTCATAGGCGGCCTCACGCCAAGGCTCGGATCGAAGTTTGATGATATCGCTTGGAGCCAACGCTTGGCTGTACTTACTCGGTCCGGTACTCGGAAAAGACTTGTCGAGATTCCATGCCAGCAAGGTCCAGGCCTATCACTGTCACATGCTACTTCATGTTATGCATTGACACAGAACACACTGAATTGAGTGCACGGCGCCAAAGTTTTTTATATAGTAGGACTAAATATATAGAAAGATGATAAGTAATTGCTGCGTACGCCGCATAACGTCCATTTGGTAAACAATGACATACAAGCGGTGCCAAGAGTTTCTTCCGGGGAAGGAACCCATGGGCCATAAGATCATATAAAACCCGTTGGGTTAGTTTGGAGCAGCCTTACCGCTCGCCCCAACTGGACCATACTCTCTGGTAGTCGAGCTTGAAACAAGTACTGGTGGATCATGCCTGTCCCTATTCCCGAAACACACGGAAACAAGGCCAAATATAATATAGCATTACCGAAAGAGATTACGAGCAGGTACGTAGAGACCTGATGCGCCTATCTGCTCCTTGATTTTGAACCGTCACTGTCCAAGATTCGCTCCCGACACCGTCAATTCCCCCTGCAACTTGCGCTTGGCGCACTCGGACAAATTAAACAGACCCTTTGTTCATAACGAACGTCCAGTAAAACCCCAGGTGACAATGCAGCGCAACGGCCACGGCGACCCCGTCAATGCTGTTGCGCAGGACATACCTCTGCTACCTGGCACTGTTCCATTACCGCAAGCATCAACTTCGACGACTGTCATTGATTGGGATTGGGATGTTGAACACCATGACCGACGGCTTGAAGCTAAAGCGGACGCAGCAATGCACGGCGCACAGCCTTTTCAAGTCGACCGAAGGGTCCTTAAAGACGTCGTACGAGAAATGACAGGCTGCGAAGTTGGCCGAATTAAGTTCATGAGTTCCGGTACGTCATCTTCATTTTCCAGGACTAGCAGGACGCTAAAATTACAACATCAGGGACTTTTCATAAGGCAAGTGGACAGCTCAGGGGCCACCCTACTTATTTTGACATCTTGATGTCTGCTGCAGGCATATCTCGTTACTCTTGTTGACGCGCGCGAGCTGGTCGCTCGCGTCGCTCGTCGGTTCATGCCTCGCCTCAAAACTGAATCTGAGGTGGCCACCATGCACTACCTTCGCCAACGGACGTCCATTCCTGTTCCGGATGTCTATTATTATGATGCAAATCCCTACAATCGCCTAGGGGGTGAATATATCCTCATGTCGAAGGTACGTCTTATCTCGTCGTCGTCATGTCGAGTGCCTTGAAGGTCACGTGTCATATTAGGCGAAAGGGGTTCCCTTGTCACGCGTATACCACACTCTCTCTAATCAAGAACTCAAATCTCTGTTCGCAAATGTTGCAGCTATCATAGTACCCCTGTTTGCACAACGATTCTCCCACATCGGATCACTATATTTAGAAGGCGCAGGCACAGGCGCACCGACCCCTCTCTCAGTCGGGTCATCAAATTCCCCGACACCAACCGCGACGCGTCCTACCATCAACGGCTTTAAATTCATGCCACTGTTATCTATGAATTCGTTTTCCAATGCCACAGGACCCCTGGAGAGAACAGTCTCACGGCCAACTCCAGCTAGAGAGTCGCACATTGGTCCCATCGTATCATGGCCCTTCTTCGGATCCAATCGCGGGGACCTCTCCCATCCGGATGAGATTAACCGTGGCCCGTGGTCTAGTACTCATTCGTATCTTGCCTCGTGCATGGACCGGGAGGTCCGGGGCGTTGTTCTCGAGAATGAGGGCAAGACGGCACCGCACCGGCTACATCTTGACCCGGACGAGATTCAATCTTCTCGGCATCACCACTTGAACGCAGTACCCGGTGATCAGAGCGACGACAGTGACGAATGGGACGCACAGGAGAGTGAGGAGGAATGGGATGGCCCTGGTGATGTCATGTACAGGGATTACAGGCGCATGCAGAGAAGCACGTTCCTAATTGCCCACATCATGCGACGTGAGGAGTCTGTACGAAAAGAGATGGGTCGCTGGATGCGCATGATGGAGAGACTCGGGGCGTGCGCGGATCATTCTGGAGAAAAAGAAGAGTTCGGCCTGGACTGCCACGACATAAGCTTGGAGAACGTGTTCGTCGACGAAAACAACCCCACGGAAATAGTAAGTTTTGCCTACTTGCGTGTATTGTTCGTTCTGATGAATGATCCTAAACAGACATGCGTTATTGACTGGGAATCTACAACTACCCGGCCCCTCTGGGCATGTGCGCATCTACCAACCTTCCTGCAATCCAGTCCATTTACGACTGGTATGTTCCGAGAAGCGGTCGAGGATTTGGCTTGTGGTCGAGCTCCTCGGCCAACGCACCCAGGAAAGAGCAATGGCAAACCCGTGAATGCTGTTACGGTCGCAAAAGAGTGGCTGCATTACGAAGCCATCGGCGCACGGCTGCGCATGGCTCACAGGTGTGTCGAATGGGACGGATGGGAGGAAGGCCTCGTCGACAGTATACTTGGGCCCGAGGACACTGAGGACGAATGGTTCAAAGATGCAGAGTGTACCACGGAGGCGCTGTCTGCCTCGAGTGCGCCTGTGTGCGCAGAGAGCCAAGCAAGCAGCTGTGCTAACTCCGGTGCTCTGCAGGCTGCGTCATTCAAGCGACGAAAGAAGGCTGGACACATACCCTTGAAGAAGGAGCGGGAGAAGGAGCAGATGTTAAATACCACTGGCGACATCTGTGGTGGGCGAGGCGGGGAATTGGGACGCAGACTTGAGGCTTGGCTGAGCGTCAATGGGGACGGGACGAGGAAGAATTGGGACGAGGAGTATGATGCGGAGGCGGAGTGAATTTGTCTTGTGTTTTGCACTGTTTCTTCGGTATGTAGACTAGATCTCGGTGAGTGGATTAAGCTATGCTATGCCTGGACTTAATACTGTATGATACACACCTTATGCACTGTCGCACGCAATTACATTTGTCACAGCATATTCTCGTATTAAATTATTATTTGGGCTCCGTGGTGTCTACTTGGTCGCTCGTTCATTGAAAGAGGGCGTCGCATTCCCCTGGTATTTCAAGCCTTCTATCAGAGTACCAACTGGCTATCGAGCCTTGCGATTGTTTGCTCAGTCTACTCTTTCACTCAATCTACCAAAGCCTCTGTAGTGACTCAAGCAGCATTGGAACAATTCCTAGTTGAACTTTCGCGACCAGTGCGGAAGCAGATCCTCACGGTGTGGTACTTCATCCCGATGATGGCCGATCGCATTAAGACAAGGGGTCCTACTATTCGACTCCCGACAGTGTTATACCAATCCTTTGCAAACTTCTCCGTAGACATGTTAAAGGAAAGAATTTAGTGAAAAAGTACGAAACCATGTCCCAGAAATAAGTCATACTCAGAATGTCTTCAGTCTAGACATGCATGGGGTCGCAGTCACTCGCCAATCAGAACAGACCTCTGATTTGGTGTCGAGATGCGATGAGATTCGAAGATAGTCTGATACGTTAACATTCATACCTATCGGCGTCATTTGCGCGAAGCTAACCCAACCAGCAACTCCATATCTTCCACATCAACTGCAGTCTCGGAGACCAACATCTCTCTGTCACCTAATCCTTTCCTCTACTGCTACATTGAGAGATGTCGTCCATTGGGTGATCGTTGACTGTAGCGACGTTGAATTCCAAAGACCTAGGGTAGGATAATGATTGTCTCCCGGATGATCCGACTTGAAGACTGGAATGAGAGCGTTTAAGACCGGCGCGGACGATAATGAGGAGAGGGGTCATTGTCTATGTTCAAACCTTCATCAGTCATCATGTTTGTAAACGCTCGAGAATTGGGGGCTTACAGCGACTTGCATTGCAATATCGACTGCCACTAACCCTGAAACATTACCCGCTACCCATAAAAGGAATATCACACATGTACATGTTGTGATGAGCGCCCCAGATTCGACGATCGTTATAATGGTGCTTTTGTACCTGAAGCCGCCGCTGCCGCCGGTGGTCAGAGCAGCTGTCTGTTTTCCTGTCCGCCAGATACGGTATACGATACCAGTAGTTACCGTGACATTTAAGACCATCTCGAGTGACCATCCAGACAATGCGAAGGCTCGAAAAGTATGCGAAAAGATGTTGGTGTGCTTAGGCGCGAGCAAGGCGACGGCGATAGAAGCGGTGACTGTAAAAGTCATGTTCACATAACAATGCAGCAACTAGAAGATGGATGCATACCGCAGTGGGCTACCCACATAATGAGCTGAAGAATAGGTTCAGCATCATTAACAACGTCCGAATCTATGGTCTGAATTTACCGGTACAATGCAAACTTTGATATTCTGATTCCAGACAACATAGAGTCTCCATATCTTTGAAAGAACTGCGCATGAGAAAATGCATGTATTCTCTTGCCGCATGTACTGACCAAAAGCAGTTCTTGAGTAAATACCTACATTAACAATCATTTCGTTCAGCGTCAAGCGAGCGGCATAAAATTTCAGACTCACATTGAAAATATAGATTAACTGACAGAATAAGAAAACACGGTTTCCTGCGGTAGCTGCATAGTAAAAGTTTGCCCCATCAGGGGTAATAGCATTCGTCGCGTCTGTGAATGCAATCATCGCTTGTACAAACATCAATATCACATGTGTAGTTGCCAGAGCAAATTGAAACGAGGTAGCACAGAGCAGAATCCTACTGTAAACAAATCAGGACACAGACGAAAGGACAGTGGTGAATATTCACCTGTAGGCTGGACTCTTGATTGAGATGACGTAAACGCATGTACCGAATAATATGCAACTATGATTTTTATTTAGATTGACCTATGCCTCATGGGAAGTGAACGAATTACTTGATTCCTGTAAAAGTGTTCAGCATCTGCAATTCCCACCAAAGTTTCTACTCTACCATAAAGTATGGTCTCAAGCCATAAACACGTGAGATTCATCTGGGCAAGCGTCTGCCCAGAAGACATTTTACTTGGAAGAGCTGGATGCCAGGGGCCTTTATTAGTAATTCCATCAACAGCGGCTGCGGGTAACAAGTTTTGATCGGCTTCAGCCCGATGCAATATAAGCGCTGTGACTTACTGTAAACTGCAAACAAGGCTCCCTTGTAAGGCTACTACTTACCAGCTCAGCGTATCTCAGAATGAGGTCATCCGCTCCAGCGATAATGCTGATTTGTTCCGTTCCTAGAGACTTTCACAGTGTAAAGCAAATATGAAGGACCAGTTGCTGGTTGCTTTACACGGTGACGTGTTCAAGATGAAGTGTGGGATATCGGATGTCACGCGCACGCCCCATAACAGGATTCACAATTTCACGTGTTCATTTCAATGATACGCACAGTGCCGAACAATGATACTACTGAAATTGTAGCGGTGCACAACACCAGAACTAAACACCCTAGGGTGACATGTACATACTGTGGGACTTGGTGATGCTAGATTGTTCAAGGATCCCGCATGACCTGAAGGCGAATTTCTTTTCATGGACATGTGGACCAACCAGCTATAGATACAAGTTTCAGTTAATCACATGTCCTGAGCTTCATAGAGTGCTAGAATCTGCTCGGGGTGATCGTCGATGATTGATGCGTCCCTTACATGCATTTGCAGTTTGCTAGTATGTACAATCTGGAGTACCGTAATAGAGTAAATATGAACCAAGTATACGTAGAACACTAGTAGGTGATATCTAAATTAGAAGATACAAGAGGATCAAGCCCTGAAACAATACGACACCGCCTCAGCTCACAACACAGCTACAAAGTCTTCTTCAAATCCAGGGATCCCCTTGACCTTTCCTTTTCCCTCCTATGAGGATGTGTTTCCCTCTTCGTTGACGTTGACCTGCACCGACCTAGAAGTCATCCGCGGTAGTGGATGGTACAGGAACGTGTTCGGAAGGAACTTCAGTTGAAGTGTCTGCAGAAAGACAGCCAAGGATCGACTGGAGCGTGTTGAGCACTTCGGACCGGTACTCTGCCGCACGCTGGCTCTCTGACATAACACAGTCTTCCATCACGTCCTCAAGTAAAGGCTCATCCTGGACAATGACCTCGGAGGTGGAAGTTGACATCTGAGGAGTGTGTAAGTCACATGAAACAGGGTTACTGGACGAGTGAGGACATACGGAATCATCAGGCAGATCAAAAGGCTCAAAGATAGTGAGGCATGGCTCCTGATCCGGAGGTAGAAAATCCTCGAGGTAAGTCTCAGCTTCCTCGAGGAATTTCTCGGCATCTGCACGGTGGTGGGCAAAATTCTGTTCCTCCTCGATGTCAGATCGTAAATCAGCCATATCCTGTAACTGTTGGATCATGGTCCACTGCATTTCAGCTATTTGGCGTATTTCGTGGTTGGCATGCCGCATTTCAGCGTGCTTGCAGGCCATGATGTGGCCAATTTTGTCCTCATGCTGCGGCGCACAGGTACGCAAGACGTGCATCATGCACTGCTGGTCGGGAAATTCGTCGTGCTCCTGGGCAAGGAGGGAAATTTGGGAAGGCTGATTCACAGGCTGCTGCTGGTAACGCAGAGCCCATGCACGTTCACGCTGCTCGGCGAGATACCGGGCAGCACGAGCACTCGCAGAGAGAAAGACTACGGGGTGGTAGCAGGGATAGTAGTCGAGAGAATAAGGGCTCGTTCGGACAGGTTCAGTGAAGAACATCATAATGCGAATGAAGCAAAGATGAGTTGATGAAAGATGTCATGTCGAGCAGCGAGTTTTATAGCTGGATAATCGGTGGACTTGTGGACTGGATGAATAAAGATCCACTAAATTGAGCAGACGCGTCCACTAGATTCGGTAAAGCGCGATCACGGTTTGCACAATAGTCACATTATTGCCACGATGCAGTGAGCAAGCACCACAATTGCTCAAGAGCTCCGTATCCACTAATCAAGCGGCTGGTGACCTTACCACGGGCATGACTTGATCATGCGCGGCTGGACCGTTTAAGACCACAAACAACCTGCAAATGGCGGATGAGTTGCATGTGAGCGGCGTAACATAATGTTCATTTGCTTCCTTGTAGCAAACGCCATTACCAATGCTGGGTTTGTGCCCACTTGCCTGAGTGTGGAAAAAAATCATTGTAAAGCGTACTCTGGAGGTACATGTGTACACTGGGGCGGTAGTAGGCGCACCTATGGGTCCCAGTCCCCGAGATGAAGAGAATGTGTCAACGATGGTAACACTACTCTGGACTCTTAGCACTTGTATCGCTGTCGCTCCAAGTTAGGGTAATGGTGCATTCTGCGTTCGTGCTGGCACTGAAAAAAGTTCAGTTCGCGCGCCCAACGCAGCAGCCTGTCCGAGTCGTTTCGACCTTCCACTGTTCTCTGAAGTGCGCGAGTTCGATAGGCTCATGCTCTGGTGCTGGGATATATCATGCCTGTCATCCCTGCGGTCATTCCACACCTGGTAGTCAAATGTCTGGGGTGCGCTCTACCAGCATCGATGATTGATATGATGGTGTTCGGTCCCGAAGCTGTCACGGGTGCTACATCTTTGTTGACATTTCTGACTAACCACTCCAAAACTATGTCGGCGAGTGAAGGAAAATAGAATCTGGCCTATCGATTTGGGACTAGCTGGAATGTGCAGCAACACAACACGACGACTCGACGAGTAGTAGATGCAATAGAAATCATCTCACGTAGAATGGACCCTATTGCACCCGATGCCGGCGGTTCGAATTCTCGGAAGTGCCTACTACATCCTAGAGCTTGTTTTTTCTAGTTCTTGCGCACTGGCAGCATTCATTGGACCTTCCTGAACTCTCGTTTGGGGAGATCCCTTTGCTGGCTACACCCCCATAGCCTGCGCTCTTGCGAGGCTTAACAAGGCCAATCAGTACGCTAGATGATACTAGATAGATGAGCACCAATAGACTTACTTCAAAGGTTCGACTCGGAAGATAGGAAATTGAGTCATGGTTTACTACCTATCTCATACCACGTATCTCCTCCAGTGAGTCGCCACATCACTAGTATCAATTCAGATGCCTCAATTAGTCGTGGGCTATGAGCGGCTGTGGTACATGACTCTTAGTTTATCGGTTCCTTCAACGGTTGCAACCCGCACAGATAAATGCTGTAATTATTTTCGTCAATTTAGAGCGTGTTTGCTGAGAATCACTCACCATTCATCAGACAGCGGGGAGTGACTTCCATGCATACGTAAAGGAGTCCCATCATGCTTCAGGTCTCAGGTCCCATTGGTGCCTGGTTGCAATCTCTATTGGAATGTGGCCACCCTTTTCAGATCGGCAATGTCACGCTGAAGTCGGACTCGCCCTGCTTGACGCTGTACATGTCTCCCGTCAGCTCCCACGTCAGCGTCTGCCACAATCCTTTATTGCTCGTGATGATTCCATGATCCTGGCTCAAGTGACTTTGGAAAGTGTGCAATCTGTCACAACATTAGTGGGTTCGCTCGTTGGCTCGCTGGATAATCATGCCAATGGGATACCATTCTTCACGGGGAGCTGTATGGACTTAATTTGGTGTCGAGATGCGATATGATTCGTCTGAGAAGCATCAAAGTTGTCTCCGATTTTGATTGATACATCAACGCTCATACCTATCAGTGTCATTTGCGCCAAGCTAATCCGAGCAACAACTCCTATCCTTCACACCATCTGATACTGCATCCTCCGAGACCAATCTCTCTCCTACCTAATCATATCCTCCTGTGCTATCGACGACGGCGCTCATGCCCGCACCCTTGCCTTTAGATATGATATTCATTGGTGTCTGTCTGTAATTTGCGAACAAAGGACGTTGACCTCCAAGGATCTAGATTGTGTGAGTATCTCTCATGTGATCCAAGATTAGAATGAGAGCGTCTAAGACCGCCGCGGACAATAATGAGGAGAGGGGTCATTGTCTATGTTTAAACCTTCATCAGTCATCATGTGTGTAAACGCCCAGGAACTGGAGGCTTACAGCGACTTGCATTGCAATGTTGCTTCCCACTAACCCTGCAATATTACTTGCTACCCATAAACAAAAAATCACGCATGTACAGGCTGTGATGAGCGCCCCAGATTCCACGATCGTTATGATGGTGCCTTTGTACCTGAAGCCGCCGCCGCAGGTCAGAGCAGCTGTTTGCTGACCTGTTCGCCAGATGTGATACACGATACCAGCAGTTACTGTAACATTTAAGATCATCTCGAGTGACCATGCTGACAATGAGAGGACTCGAAAGGTATACGAAAATATGCTAGCATTCTTAGGCGCGAGCAAGGCGACGGCGACGGAAGCGGTAGCTGTGGAAGTCATGTTTACATGATGATGCAGCGACTAGAAGATGATGCATACCACAGTGAGCTACCCACATAATGAGCTAAAGAAGTGGTTCAGTATCATTAACAGCGTCCAAATCCATGACCTAAATTACCGGTAGAATGCAAACTTTGATATTCTGATTCCAGACGACGTAGAGTCTCCATATCTTTGAAAAATCTATGTATGAGAATATGCATGTATTTTCTCGCCGCATGTACTGACCAAAAGTAGTTCTTGAGCAAATGACTGCATCGACAATTATTTCGTTCGAAGTCGAGCGAGCGAGATAAAATTTCAGACTCACATTGACAATATAGATTAACTGACCAGCTAAGAAAATGTAGTTTCCGGTAGCTGCGTAGTACAAGTTTGCCCCGTCAGGAGTAGCAGCGATCGTCGTATTCGTGAATGCAATCATTGCTTGTACAAACATCAATATCACATGTGCAGTTGACATCGTGAATTGAAACGAGGTAGCACAGAGCAGAAGCCTGCTGTAAACAAATCAGGACGCAGACGAGAGGACAGTGGTGAAATATTTCACCTGTGGGCTGGACTCCTAATTGAGATGACACAAACACATGTACCGAATAATATACAACTATGATTTTTTATTTAGATTGACCTATGCATCATGGGAAGTGAACGAATCACTTGATTCCTGCAAAAGTGTTTAACATCTACAATTGCCACCAAAGTTTCCACTGTACCGTAAAGTATGGCAACTAGCCACATACACGTGAGGTTCATTTGGGCAAGCGTCTGCCCAGAAGACATTTTACTTGATGAGATTAGAAGAGTTGAATGCGAAGGGTCTTTATGAGTAATCCATCAACAGAGTTTTATAGCGGCTGCGCATGGCAAGGTTTCAGCGTGACGCAATAGCACTGTGGAAATGAGCACCGATAGACTTGCACTTGCTCCGATGATTCGAAAGCAGGAAAGCGTGTCATTGCCTCCATCATGATCGTAAGGCTACGCGCAGCTGTGCCCCAGGGGCCAGGAGTCAGTTTTGTCAGGTCCTTCGACAGTTGCAACACACACAGATCAAATGCTGTAATGACATTCGTCAATTTTAGTCGGACGTCTTTTCCGGGAATCACTCACCAAGAGATCCGAGCATAAGTCACTCCAGACTTCCATACTTCCACCGTGTTTAAAATTTCAAACTCCGCCCGGGTCCTGGGCGTCGTATTATACTTATCCTGACCGGATCCACCATGTGCAAGCTTAGCCCATGAATGTTCCCCAATGCAACGAGCTGAATTAATATGTAACACTTACAGCAGTGGGTCCTTGCTCGTGCTGGCATCCTTATTTCTTCAGAATTCCCAGACTCCAACTCGCAGACTCACTGGCACTTCATCATGGGCGCTCGAGGATTGGACCTGTGATACTGCCCGTAATATGGGGTTGATGCTTCTATTTAGGACAGCCTTACTCGGATTCGCCCTAAAACATCCTCCCCTCTTTCTCAGTCCGCTCGCGGAGTTCACCTTTGCAGACTCTGATCACGCGGGAATGATTCTAAGCCACCTGCAACTTTCAAATTGAATCTTCCACCTTTGCTAATTCCAAGACTAAAGACCACCCTATCAGAACAGTGGTAGGGTGTAGAAGCTCTCAATCATTGACGGAGAAATTCTGTCCGCAAGGTCAGTCTTGATCAAGGCAGTCAAAGCTTGATGAAAGTAGTGATCATGTCAACTGACAACTTTCGAAGCAGTCAATTGAGTTCAGAGTCCTTACGGGGTCGAGATGTGTCTCAGCCACATTTCTAACCGATTAGAACCAGGATAATATCGGCCACGGATCATGGCACAGTGACATGGAATATGGAGAAGTTGATAAAGGCGTAACTTTCTTACCATTCATGTTCGTGATACGTTTCTGACATTAACGGGTATGGGGTCGCTGGCGACCGGTGACCACCTGCCTAGTACCATGTACGCGCTGAGCACTGAGCACTTGACTGAGCGGATAGCGCCACTATGACGCATTAATTCACAAATACGGTCACATGTACAACCATGTGAGTATTTTGACTGCGTCCCAGCAACATTCATAAGTGACATTATCAAAATAGAAACAGCATATTGGGACGGCATAGTTCTAACCGGTGGTGGCGTTCTGATTGTCGCCTGTTACTTCATGTCCGATATCCGCAAACGCTAGCATAACATTCCAGCTGACCGCCTTCACATCAAGGATCTTGGGTCCTTTGGCCTGGAACTGGTTTCTACCATGGAGATCTACTGAATTGAGTTTGCTAGAATGGGGCCTCAGCCGATCTGGGGTCAAGTCTGATCCCCCTAACTTTGGCCTAGACTTGGTCCCAGACGGCCACTCCAGAGAATTCATCGAAGAAACGACGTGCGAGTGCTCCTGTCCAAATATTCACTGCGCTGTGCGGTCACGAAATTGAGTCAATCCTTCTTATTCTCCGAATGAAAAGCACAATATATATAGTGGGTTTCAGTTTTGTTCATACTAGAAGAGTCTTTTCTAACACATCCCATCTTCAACATCACTTACGCTTACCATGGATTTTGGGGGAGACGTGTTAGGCTATTGGGGTCGAAACATCATCCAAGATTATGATAATGTTCTTCTCAAAAAGCTTCCTGGGCAATCTGGACCCCTGGCTGGTCATCGACAGACCCCGCAGCTGCCGCTCTCCAAGGTTGGCTTTCGTAAGACAGCCTACCCGGTTGGAATTTTAGGGGCAGGAGTTGGTGGTTTATACACCGCCCTCATGCTAGATTCGCTGGACATCAATTACGAGATCTTGGAGGCGTCGGACCACACCGGTGGCCGCCTCTTCACCTACAAGTTCCCAAAAGGCAAAGAATATGATTACTACGTATGTTACTCTGCTGTACCGATGATGCTTATCATCTAACCTCTTGTCTCTCTCGCTAACTAGGATGTTGGGGCCATGAGGTACCCCCTGCCGCAGAAGGACAGTGAAGGCAATTACAAGACCGGTATTATGAAACGCCTGGGCGAGTTAATCAACTATTCAAAGCTCAACGACTGTCCCGTACCTCTCAAGTCCACACTTATCGATTACTATTACAAGGCGAGGGAAGAAGGATCTTTCCTCTACTACAACAACGAACGTTACCAAGTCTCTGAAACATCGCACCCTCCTGACTTCCGTGCCCGGGAAATGGGTGTGCAGTCTGAGTATGTCGCTGTAGGAGTAGAGAACATTGTCGACGACGTCGTTGAGCCATTCGCCCGCATGCTCATAAGCGATCTGGAGAAGCAGGTTAACACGGGGTGGGAGATCATGAAGGCGAACGACGCATATTCGCTTCGCGCATACATGTCGTTCAAGTACATTCCCAGCGTCAACCTCAAACTCCCGCCTATGCATCTTACCACCAACGTTATCAATTGGTGCGAGACGTTCGACAACAGCACCGGCTCGTATGACCGCGGTTTAACTGAAGCAGTTCTCGAGACGCTGGCGTTCGCCAAGGCCGATTCGGGAGTCATCGGTGAAGTAGAATGGAAGTGTTTCAAGTAAGTACGCCCGTTGTCTCCGAACTCATGCTCTCACACGTCCCGTACCCAGAGGCGGTTCTCACATGCTCGTCGACTACATGACGAAGTACATCACTGCTGACGGCACCAATGATCTCATAAAGCTCAACAAGAGAGTCACCCGCATCTCTGAGGGTGGTGAAGACACCATGAAGGTTCATGTGCAGGGCGAATATGATAGCCGCACATATTCACATGTTATATCGACCATCCCTCTGCCGTGCCTGCGGACGATTGATCTCTCTGGTGCTGGTTTAAACGTGATGCAGAAAAACGCATTGCGCAAGCTACAGTACGGTCCTTCAATCAAAATTGCGATCCGCTTCAAATCAGCGTGGTGGACGGACCTATTCGATATCGTAGGAGGCCAATCATTCACTGACCTTCCTATTCGAACTATCGTCTACCCCTCTTACGGGGTCGATTCTAGCTCACCGTCCACAGTGCTGATCGCGAGCTACACTTGGACAAATGACGCAGAACGCTTGGGAGCGCTCGTCAGCACCGGTAAAGAAGAGTACATTGAGCAACTAAAGGAACTCGTGCTGCGCAATCTCGCAGAAGTACACAGTGGTCGCGCCACTTATGACTTCTTGTCGAAACAATTCTTGGACATGCATGCATGGGACTGGAACTACGACCCGCTCACCATGGGTGAGTCTGTAAATGTTGATGTGATCCAATTGATGCTCACTCGTTGCACTAAGGTGCCTTTGCGTACTTCGGGCCCGGAGATTTCCAGGATTTGTACACGTCTCTCAGTGTTCCAAATAACAACAAGAGGTTCCATTTCGCTGGAGAGGCTATCAGCACCCGTCATGCGTGAGTGAAGCAGTTGTCTTTGGGATGATTGCAATTCAAAGGCAATGTGACTTGCAGTTGGGTTGTTGGTGCATTGGATAGCGCATGGCGCGCAGTGTACGAGTACCTGCTCTCTTCTGGACAGCCTAAAACCACTATTGCAAAATTCTTCAAACTGTGGGGCAAGAACGTTGAGTGGGTGTGTCCATCGTCCTTGTATGATGATGAAGGGCGCAGTGAAGAGGATCCGGACGCGAACACCATGCTACGGGTCCACATGGCGTGCACATATGCTGGTGAAACATCTGGGGAGGTGAAGTTCTGAACAAGACGTAGTAGTTAGCTTGGTAATATCAACTGAATTTGTAACATCACTCATCTTGTACTATCATTGATGACCTGTTCGCTCCTAGGAGCTGAAATATATCATGTGTTTCCGTCAACTTTTGAGTGGTAGTCGTGAGCGCTGATTCCTGAAGCACTATCGCATCGTGCTTGGTGAGCACAAGTTAACTTCGTCTAAGGGGAGAGGTAAATCGATAAACGTTCTTGAAGCAGCTGGGGCTGTTTCACGGCGCTCGACCAGTACTTGTATTCTGCACAACTGGACGAAGCTCAGAAGTATCAACGTTCAACAACAGTCTTATCTTTTGAATGTCCGTCTCCCTTATAAGTTATAACTCGTCTAACTAGATCCACGGGGAGGATGCAAATCCTTTTTTTTAAATTCTACTTAGAAGACCTAGTATACTATTAGTCCCTTCCAACAAAATTTTGACCCTTCGCAAAGACATAACAAGTACTCATACCATACATTAGTACGCAAACTTAGAGCTGTAGTATATGTATATGAAGAATTGAATCTCCAACAAATGAGCCGAGAAATGCGAAAACGTGCAGACCCAACTCAGCGGTCGACCCCTATTTAACCGCACGTAGCCGTGTGACCATCACGCTGTCACCAAAAGACAACTTAACGTCGCCGACTCCTCTCAAGTTGGGCGAGGGAGATCAACCTTTCATCGGCCTACACAACTCTGTACATAATAACAGGATCGGACTGATTTTCGATATGTTTTCCGACGTTCCTGAGAGTCCAACACCAGCTAATTTGGCGGACATTTTCATAGAAGCCAACACCAAACTTGACGCCATCGATTGTGGTATTTATGACTCAACTTCACCAAGGCTTACGCTGATCAACATCTGATCTTCAAGGTAAATGCGGCGAGGCCCTGAAGTTCATCATGGAGCCAAACCCCGAGGAGGAGTATGCGGTATGCTGGAATTCATGGGCAGAGTGCAGGCACTCATTGATAATTGTAACAGGAGTTTTTTGATGTTAGTTTCCTAGTATACTCAACAGTATCGCACATCATCGACTTGAATTGGATATGGTTACCGGCAAGACCAAGGTAGGGCGAATGGATTTCTTCTTGTCATTAATAATGGTCCACTTTTTTGCAGATGGAGTTACTTGGAGGACGATTGCATCCTTCTCATCGAATCGCGCAGTCGCATGCACGAAGCTCCAATACAACACTTGGATTCGATATTCAATCGCTTTTTGCGTGGCTTCGTTCCCGACCCTGTGCTTACCACGACAACCATGAACAGTCGGTTAACATCTACATTTATCGTCCCAGACATCGCAATCGAAGTAGATGTATCAAGTACGAGATATTGGATCCGTAGGCCTCTTGTCATCGTGGAATGTGCATTTGCACAGGACATGGATTCAGTTCTTCGGAAAATCAAACATGAAATCGCCGGCCAACCAGAAGTTTTGATGGTCATATTGGTTGTAATTGATGAACATCAACCATATCGCTCGCCTGAACGTATGTTCGAAGCATGGCAGATGCTACGCCAGGAGACATCATGTCGCTCAAGTTCTTCGTTCGCTTCGCTTGAAGAGCATGCGGCACGATCTTACAAACAAAAAAATCATCGCGTCGTGATCGCGGGCCATACATGGTGTGACCTTGGCTCTGTTCGATTTCACGTTTGGGTGCGGGGGAATGAACCAATCAACATTGATGATGATGATGAACTGCATGCATGTGGTGTAAGTATTTACAAACACTCATCACCTTCGCCTCGTTGATGGCTTTACTGCAGACGTTGCTTCCAAACCGAGATATGGATGCGGTCGACACCATGATCGAGAATGGCATGGTGATGATGCGGGACTCTATTGCAATTGTCTGCCAGGAGGCGGCTCTGGACACTGACGTTACTACCATTCAAGACACTGTCGTTGCTTTCAGCCCTGATTGGGACCGCCTGCTGATGCAATTGAAATTTGGGGTCACGGAGACTGCCTATGACCGGTACCATTCATGGTACAATTCGTCCCCCTGAGATCTCCCTGCCACCACGCTTTACAACATCATAACGACGCTGCAGTCCTATGTAAATCAATTGTTATTCAGTGTCTGTCCCCCACCAGTGTGAAGACAGGTTGTGAGTGTGTGCTGTGCATCATGCGTGGATCGTTACAGTGACCGTAGAGGCAAGAGCGCCTACTTCATAATTCCAGGTGCCGTGATACATACCAATATCCCATATGCATATCCGTAGACCTACTAGTTCTCTGTAAATATAGAGGCCTGCCACAAGACAGGTGTCAAATGTTGCCCAGGTAGAAATATTTGCACTTTTGTACATGGGAAATGCCCTCATTCATTTGTGTAGATGGAGGTAGGTGTATCAGTCCTTCAAGCCATACTTCGCAAAGAAATTTGCCTGGAATCTTCCTCCCTTTGAAGTACGTGAGCTCTGGGACAATTGTTGAGACGGTATTTGCTTGGGTTCGAGCTTGGTTGAGCCAGCAAAGGGATGTCCCCAAATGAGGGTTCAGGAAGGTCCGATGAATGCTGCCAGTGCGTAAGACAACAAGCTCTAGGATGTAGGTACTTACAGAGAATAGATGAGCCGAGAATTCGAACCGCCGGTATCGGGTGCAATAGGATTCATTCTACGTGGGATGACAAAGTTTCTATTGCATTACTTACTCGTCAAGTCGTCGTGCTGTGTTGCTGCACATTCCAGCTAGTCCCAAATCGATAGGCCAGATTCCACTTTCCTTCACTCACCGACGTTGTTTAGTTTTGGAGTGGTTAGTCAGACATGTCAACAAAGGTGTAGTACCGTGACAGCTTCGGGACCGAACACCATCATATCCATCATCGGTGCTGGACCCTGCTAGTAGAGCGCACCCCGGACATTTGACTACTAAGTGTAGAATGACTGCAGGGATGACAGGCATGGTATATCCCAATGAGCCTATCGAACTCGCGCACTTCAGAGAGCAGTTGAAGGCTGAAACGACTCGGACAGGCTGCTGCGTTGGGCGCGCGAACTGAACTTTTTTCCAGCACGAATGCAGAATGCACCATTACCCTAACTTGGAGCGACAGCGATACAAGTGCTAAGAGTCCAGAGTAGTGTTACCATCGTTGACACATTCTCTTCATCTCGGGGACTGGGACCCATAGGTGCGCCTACTACCGCCCCAGTGTACACATGTACCTCCAGAGTACGCTTTACAATGATTTTTTTCCACACTCAGGCAAGTGGGCACAAACCCAGCATTGGTAATGATGTTTGCTACAAGGAAGCAAATGAACATTATGTTACGCCGCTCACATGCAACTCATCCGCCATTTGCAGGTTGTTTGTGGTCTTAAACGGTCCAGCCGCGCATGATCAAGTCATGCCCGTGGTAAGGTCACCAGCCGCTTGATTAGTGGATACGGAGCTCTTGAGCAATTGTGGTGCTTGCTCACTGCATCGTGGCAATAATGTGACTATTGTGCAAACCGTGATCGCGCTTTACCGAATCTAGTGGACGCGTCTGCTCAATTTAGTGGATCTTTATTCATCCAGTCCACAAGTCCACCGATTATCCAGCTATAAAACTCGCTGCTCGACATGACATCTTTCATCAATTCATCTTTGCTTCATTCGCATTATGATGTTCTTCACTGAACCTGTCCGAACGAGCCCTTATTCTCTCGACTACTATCCCTGCTACCACCCCGTAGTCTTTCTCTCTGCTCGTGCTCGTGCTGCCCGGTATCTCGCCGAGCAGCGTGAACGTGCATGGGCTCTGCGTTACCAGCAGCAGCCTGTGAATCAGCCTTCCCAAATTTCCCTCCTTGCCCAGGAGCGCGACGAATTTCCCGACCAGTAGTGCATGATGCACGTCTTGCGTTCCTGTGCGCCGCAGCATGAGGACAAAATTGGCCACATCATGGCCTGCAAGCACGCTGAAATGCAGTGGACCATGATGCAACAGTTGCAGGATATGGCTGATTTACGATCTGACATCGAGGAGGAACAGATTTTTGCCCACCACCGTGCAGATGCCGAGAAATTCCTCGAGGAAGCTGAGACCTACCTCGAGGATTTTCTACCTCCGGATCAGGAGCCATGCCTCACTATCTTTGAGCCTTTTGACCTGCCTGATGATTCCGTATGTCCTCACTCGTACAGTAACCCTGTTTCATGTGACTTACACACTCCTCAGATGTCAACTTCCACCTCCGAGGTCATCGTCCAGGATGAGCCTTTACTTAAGGACGTGATAGAAGACTGTGTTATGTCAGAGAGCCATCGTGCGGCAGAGTACCGGTCTGAAGTGCTCAACACGCTCCAGTCGATCCTTGGCTGTCTTTCTGCAGACACTTCAACTGAAGTTCTTTCCGAACACGTTCCTGTACCATCCACTACCGCGGAGACTTCTGTGTCGGTGCAGGTCAACGTCAACGAAGAGGGAAACACATCCTCATAGTAGAGAAAAGAAAAGGCCAAGGGGATCCCTGGATTTGAAGAAGACTTTGTGGCTGTCGAGCTACCCGCTCAGGCAATGCCCTTGGAGGACGTCAGCGAAGTGGATGTGGCTGCGTTGTGAGTTGTGAGGATGAGAAGCGGTGTTGTTCCAGGCTTGATCCTCTTGTATCTTTTAATTTAGATATCACCTATGTCCTACGTATACTTTGTTCATATGCGCTCATGTTTACTCTATTACGGTACTCCACTAGATTGTACTCAAACTGCAAACCCATGTATCTCGTGTAACGCAACGCATCAATGATCGACGATCACCCCAATAGATTCTAGCGCATGTGATTATCTGAAACTTGTATCTGCAATAGCTGAAGCGTCGGTGGCATGCCCATGACAAGAAATTCGCCTCCAGGTCATACGAGATCCTTGAACATGATACATCTCCAAGTCCCACAGTATGTACCTGTACATATAGAGGCCTGCCACAAGACAGGTGTCGAATGTCGCCCAGGTAGAAAGATGGATAATTTGCACGGAAAATTACAATTTTGTAATGATGAGGAATGCCCTCATTCATAAGGATTGTGTAGATGGAGGTAGGTGTATCACTTCTTCAAGCCATACTTCGCAAAGAAAGTTGTCTGTGGAATCTTCCTCCCTTTGAATTCAAGTACGTGAGTTTTGGGACAATTGTTGAGACGGTATCTGCTTGGGTTCAAGCTTGGTTCTCATATTATAGTTCCAGGCTTGTGAGCACGCTTCCATGCAAAAGGGATTGGTAATTTAAGGGCTTTGCTGAGTGCTCGATGTTAACTATGGATCAAAGTCACTTGGTATGCATATCATAACATGCTTATTTGTTCTAGTAACCTATGACGAATTCAGGACAGCCCGTCCTTCCACAAATTCTAGGATGGCTTCGCCAGAGGGTCGATGGTCCATATCCCGTGACCAACAACTCTGAATGAAATCCCAGTCAACGTCACCTACCACAGGTGCAGGCGGCCTTCTGGGTCTTATTCCCCGCGATATGAAGTTAATTATGGCTTCATATCTGGCAACATAATGGTATGGGATCTTGCCCTCCAAAACCTGCAAGAAGATGAGCTGATCCAATTAGGATCATTCAGACTACGTACCTGCAGCATGATCCCTCCAAAAGAGTACACATCGCTTTTTGGACTGAATACCATTGACACGTTGCCTTCATCATCGAATATCAAGTATTCTGGCGCCATATATGGCGCGGTGCACGTGGGATTGGTGGGCAATAATGCCTGACTCGTTCTTTCAGGAAGAAGGGCAGAGAGACCAAAATCGGCGAGGCTTGCTTTTCCATTCTTGTCAATAAGAACATTATTCTAAGAAAAAATCAGTTAGGTGTTCATGGATCTCACGAGGACATACGCACACCGCTTAAGTCTCCATGGATGACTGACTGCGAGTGGACTGCCCGATTCAGTGTCAATTGACTCTCGCATCAACGACAGATAACACTGAACATACGATAATGAAGTCCACGAGCCACATCCCTGAGCTAAAAAGACCTTAGCGTAGTACACATGGTGAGATGAATGATCGACCGAACCAGTACAAATTTGGCATTGTAAGAAAGCTTTTTATGCTTACGCTGAAGGTATCCGGTCAAAGTGCCATGTTGGAACCATGGAGAGATGAGTGCTGGGAAAGAACCAAATCCATCTGTAACACCCAAGAGAGGAACGATATTTTCGTGCTCAAGCTTCAGCCATAGCTTAATCTCTCGGAACAATCGCTGACGGACAAAAGTCAGTAAAATGAGGCCTGAAGAAATACATGCCAACTACTGACATTAATGATCTTCAACGTGTCCGGATTCTCACCAAATTTTATTTCCTTGACTGCGACCTAAATCGATGTTGGGAATTTCAGATGACAATCAACTTAAAGGCACTCACGTCATCACAAGTTGTTATAGAAGAATACTGGTAACGGGAGACCAATTGCAGGACGCTTGCCTCGAGGTCTCTTATACAGAATTTGCACCTATGAACATTTGCAAACCCTCCAAAGTTCTGGGGATCCTTGTTTAGCCGTTGGACCGTGTTTGTCAAATCAACGGCACTAAAGACGATCAGCCCATCAGCGGCATACAGCAAAAGACAACTCACCCAAAACCTTGGACTAAGATTAAGTAGCGGACCTTCTCGATTGAGGGACGGAATTTCTCCTCAGATAGGCACTGTTGCACTAAGTTCAGCTGCACTTCATCCATCTTTGAGTCAAAATTTGGTGAGGCACTGGATAAGCAAGATTTCGCAAGGATTCTACCTCCACAGTCGGACCAAAAGGCTCCGTGCCCTTTAATTTTTCCGCAAGGACTTGAGCTTCTTCTGGAATCCACCAGTACGGCAACTTTCCCGACAACACCTGAAAAATACTCTTGTGGAACGCGTCGAAGGATATTTTGCTCCATAACATACCAGAATCACGATGCAGCCATATGAATATACGTCTCCGGCTTTTGATGGTCTTGGTGCCTCTATTCGGTAATCACGTGTAATAGACTCGGGTGCGATGTACCTCGCATTTCCTGGCTCGTTGAATATCTGAATATCTGCTATACGTACATGGCCTGGGCCATCACAGAATATGGTGTCCTGGGGGATGCAGTGAGCATTCTTCCTACGTGACTCAAGTAATCAAAGCATACACCCGTTAGATTACCATGCACAATGCCCTGCTTATGCACTGAGGGGTGTATGAGTTCCGTGCATTAGTAGCTACGGGACATACTGACGATATTCAATACCATCCACCACCTCAAATAGCTGCCCATTCGAGGTCAGAACAGAATGACTTGTGCATGCCATAAAATATCAACTTACAATGTCGGACTTTTGACGTTCAGACAAATTGAAGTGATTTCGTCTGAGGTAGTCGTGCAACGAACCGCGTGGTACACGCTGAGGGATTCGCTCCGCACTGGCAGGTACAAGGGAGATATGAAATCGTCGTTTGCATATTTGACTTCCGGGTATTAGGCGTCGTCAGTGACCAGAAGACCAAAAATACTCACCAATCAATAGAGCAACCAGCCTGACGTTGGAATAGTTCCAGCAAATGCATGATAGTCTCAACACCAAGGCGATTTACAACGCCGCAAAAATGACATTGGTAGTCGACTCCAGAAGTTCCTTGTTGTTCAAATATGACCCTCATGACGGTCTTCGTACCTGCTTCGATGCTGGACCATTCATGGATTGTAGGTTGGGCGAATTGTGTGCCCCTGTCAATGGATAACTCATACTGTCGCTCCTCGATAACGTTATTTCGGGCTGCAATCGAGTCACGTTCAAACAAAACTTGCAGCATCTTGTTGAGTTGCTAGAGAATTTGACGAGTAAGCTTCCCAGATCTTCATCGTTGCGAGACGGACCTGGAATGAAGTGTGGAAGTTCACCGGTATTGGATGTTCATGGTTCTGACGACCCTCCCGCATATCGTGCATGTTATTTTGACTTTGTTGCATTTGGAACCACTAGAAAAGCGGAGTTGGTGAGTGACTCGGAAACGCAGGAGATGTCTGAAGAACCCAACTAGACACCCCAACAGATAACGGTCAATTTCAATGGAACATCTAGCGATAGCTTGTGTATACGAAAGACCACGTTTATGCAAAAATTTCAGCTGCCCAGAGGTTTCTTGCAAAATCCTGAGTGTGACTTAGTACCAAGTAAATTCAAGCACACATCAACAAGGCACATACTTAACTAAGGAATCCATCCGAGATTGTTCAAATGGGGCGGTCGCGGCGCTCCACAAATACCAGTTTACTAGTCGATGGAGTCGTGATGTCAGACGATCTAGATCCGCCTTATGCTGACCGTGTCCCTGTTGACAGTCTTTGGCATCAATATGCGTCCTCACGATAGAATAAGTTCTCACATATATAGCTTGAAGGATGGCCAATAATCTAGCAATAGCAACTTCCATTGGAGGACCAGCAATTGACATTGAACTTGAATCAGAAGCTTCGCGAGCAGAGGAAACACTCCAGGAGTATCTGGCGGAAGAAACATTGGTGGAGACGTCGAGACCTAATTCACTGGTCGCAGAAACAGTGTGGATTGCTGAAGAATGTGAAGGGAGAAGAAGGGGCAGGGCACAATGGACGTCTGTGGGGATGGAGCCGTCCTCATGCCAGTCGGTGACTGACGAGCTGCGTTGTGTGCATCCGATCTCTGTCACGGTGGGGCGCCTCCGACGAACTACGAATACCTTGCCCAAATCATCACCAGGATTGTTGACAAAAACCATGTAAGACCCAGAGCGAAAGAAGGAAAGCCGCGGTCGAGGTACTTAGCCTGAGGCAGCTGTGTGGCCTAGTACATTTCAGTGAGTAAGTTATTGTTTCCGTTCTTCTGAAGTTCTACTATCATCACTAAATCCCACCGTTCCCCACAAACCATTATATACACATTATCATGTAGATAATAACCATATTCGGCTAAAATATGACAGTGCGAGATATATAGGCATATAAGTGTTTAGAACGCTATCCCCTATGACCAATGATTGTCATGAATCGTGTAGTGACAAATACTAGTACTGTTTTGAAGTGATGAAACATGTTCAACGAAGTGTTTCTCATGTAGAATTTCTAGCACAGTGGCTCTCCTGTCCAATAAGTAACAAAAATATAAATTCTTGCCATCTGTACCATCATACAGACAATTGCTTCAAATACTGGTATTATGATATTATGGGTTTTATACTTGATTGGCCAGGAAATCATATTGGATGGTATGCGAGTTATACAAAAATGCTTGGTACAATACACGTGCTCTACCCCAATCTCATTGTCAACACCACCTGCAAGAATTTGACAATAACAGACAGCGGGTAACCACGACAGATATTGTGAGCGTCTTGAAGTCCAACGAAAGCAAGACATAGTGGTCCATAAGCGGGGATTCGCACCAGGCATCACGGACTCGAATAAAGTACAGCGTTATAGGATCGGGCTCGGTGGTATAAGATCGAATTTGGCAGGCCGCAGTACTATAGAATGTGATGGGATCGACTCTGGCCATAGAATCCAGTTTGTGGCCTTGGAATAAAGGTTGGCCATGGGACCGAGTTTGAATGTAGGATCGAGTTCGAATGTGAGATCGACTTTGGCCATATTGTCGAAGACCAGCGTTCCTTAGACAGAAACATAGACCACAATGCTTGTTGCCGAACCATACCATACGGCACGACTCCCTGGACGGAGACTCGAGAAACTTGAAGGAAGTAGCGTTAATGAGTGACTAGAGGCAGAGTAGGCGATAGTGGGGGTTATAAATAAAGTCAGAGTCGGATCCTTACCTATGAATGACCAGAATATATGCTTGCCGAGCGGTGACTGAGGTCTTGACCTCTGCCAATGGAGTTGTACCTCATTCATCTTGAGATCCGGTAGTCAGAGTGTTTCGAAATAGGAAAAGAGGAATGGAGCAGGGTCGGAGCCGGGTAAGGCTGCGAGCTTCGGTGTCAGTGGTAGACAACAAAGACTAACGGAGAACTGAAACTATCCACTTTGGACGTCGGTTCAGGACAAATGACTAACAACTCAGACCGTATCAGTTCACTTTGAAGCAAAGTCACACTGATATGAAGTCCTGGACTCTCGTACATTAGTGATGTTCCCGGCCCGGCTTGGGCCCATGCAAGCCGCAGTCCGCATGCTGAATCAATGCTTGAACTCCACCATGCCGTTCCCAATGCCACGAACACCATGCGCAAACGCCCAGCACACGTCAGCGACTGCTGATGTGGCTCAGACGAATACGGACGATGGACGAGAGCAGAAGGGAAGAAGACAAGGAGGAGAACGAGAACGAGAGAGAGGAAATGGACGAGACAAGCAGAAAGACATCAAGTAATATGTAAAATAAATAAAAATTGCTTAAAAACGCACCATGCAGATGATGACAAGTGAGAACGTGAATGAGCGAGAATCATGAGAACGAGCGTCGAGAGTGGGCTCGAGTCCAACACAGGAGACAGAGAAGTCTTGCATTGTTTGTTGAATGACAGGGAGGGGAGGAAGTCTTCGTTCGGCGGAGCTTGCTGGTGCCGGCGTGCCGTGTTGTTGTTGTTGAGGCCTGAGGGACGAGAAGGATGACGGCGACGGCCTGCCTGTGTTGATATACTTGGCAATAAGCTCGAGGTTGGGTTCGGGCTGTTCCCTTTTTTCGCCTAGGTCCAGTATTGTTCAAGTTGTAGATGCTAGAACACTGGCTTGGAATCTAACATGGGGTTATAATGGTTTATCAGCAAGAAGCTAGATGAAGAAACAGATCAACACGCAATCATGTGACCCGTGTCGTAGATGCGCAATGTAGAACTTGGAACACTAGATTAGCGGTCGATATGGGTTTACATTTGATTCATCAAAACAAAAGGCAAAAGACAAGATAAGTAACACATCACAAATCTAAGCCGGTGCTATACACACCACGACATAGGCATATAAGGGGAAATCAGACATCGCCCAACTTATAAGGTGAATACTGTCATATCATGCTTAGTGGTTTTTAGTGATGGCCATAGTAAGCCTGGGGAAACTAACTTCTGCAACCGACCAAATTCTCTGTGCAACCGCACAGGCTGATTTCCACTCTCATGACCCCGATGTCACAGTATATCAGTCCGGCATCAAATGATTCGGAAAATGTTCTCAGATACGTTGCCATTAATATAAACCTTGACACCGTGAATCTTTGGTATTTATAGAGCTTGAGCTTATATGATGTTCGATCTTCGAGGTCAATGCGGGGCCGTGTTGGAGTGCATCATGGGGCCAAACTCCGAGGGAGAGTCCGCGGTATGCTCGAATTCATGCACATAGGCGAAGTGCAGGCACTCATTTGATCATCGTAATAGGAAAATTTTGATGTCTATCGTCAGTACTCAACAATATCGCACATTATCGACTTGAATTGCCACCCATCCACTAGAAGGTCATAATTACTACTAGTTTCAGACGCTGTGATAGATCTGGACAGCTCCATTCAATTTCTGTAGAGGTAACTGCCCTTCCCAACGTCAATGACATGCAGCTACTTAGGCAAACAGTAAAACAAAAAGTGCGACTACTGAAGATCGTGAACCTTAACTCTTTGAACATGTTCAACAGGACTCTAATTCTCATCTCCCTACTCCGCCAGATCAAACCCATGTACATTCTCGAAGCATACCTCCGATTGACGGCTATCCAAGCCTCATGTCCGCTTGATCACAGTTAAATCTATCTATAAATGTCTCTCATCATGATCACCGCCAGTCAAGCTCTCAACCAACTGGCTCTACACATCATCCTCCCAATCATCCGGTATTGCCTCTTCCTCTCCACCCATCTCCAGACTAGCTGCCTCCCTCGCGCGCTGCACAGAGGACGACACCCACGCTCCACCACTCGGTTTCAAATTCAAAGTAGCAGTACCAACTTGAGTCCCTCCCGAGCTCGAGGACGCACCAGGCGCAGGCGAAGGACTCCCAGACCCAGACCCAGGGCGTGTGACAACTGCCGTCCACCTCCCGCCTGCTTCTGCGACCTTTGGTTGGGGTTTGGCCCATACTCCACTTCCGCTCGTCACGCTCGATATAGGCTTCGGAGCTCGTAAATCAGCGAGTTTGCCTAGGACTGCGAGCGATGGCGTTGGTGATGGGAGCGACGCAGATAAGAGTGGCGTCGGGATGCGCGTGTCAACGCGCCGGATAAGCTGTACGCTTCGGTGAGGTTCTTGATCGATCATCTGTGTATCCATGCGGTAGACAGATGCGAGCTGAGCGCAGTTGATATATCAGCATCACACAAAACAACTGTTTCAAAAACTGGAGAAATAAAAGGAACTCACGTCATGCACGAATTTACGTCGTTCAGGAGGCATGTGCGGTAGGACTTGCGTGCGTTTGTCAGAAGTGATGAAACTAGAACAGAGATAGAGTGAGAACGTGCATCGGATTCATGAGAAATACCATCACTCACTCTGCAAACGTCTTCTCCACTAGCCCCACAAACTTACTGTTCGCTCTCGCGAAAGTCACTAGATCATCATTGTAAGTGACCTTGGCCTGTAAACCCTCGCGTTTATCGGGACTGATGCCAAGAGCATCTGCAAGTCGCGCATTGCGTTTTTTGATCGCGCATTCACCAGTGCATTTGAGCTGGGCGGTTGAATTTCCTTGGGAGCATGGGATAGAGGAGCGGAGGAGGCCACAGGGACAGGTGAGGGTGACGAGCGCGAGACAGGGTTCGGTTTCAGGACATGCTGCTGGGGCATGACATGGTTGGGTGCATGGGTGTTGTGCTGGCAAGCTAGATTAAAGGAGAAGTTTATATCAATTGAAATGGGGAGAATGGAAAATTTAGAAGAACTTGCCATGATTTGCGAGACTTGCCACATACAGCGGTACACGTTCCACAGTCGTCTGCGTGGCACAAGCGTTCGCAATGATGGAAACCGCATGCTAGCAATCTGTGAAGCAACAGTAAAGTTAATCGACACGATCACTATCAGACAGACACAAAACTCACTTTCCGCATACCGTACCACAACTCACCCGCTCCTGCGCACACCTGACATTATCCACCA